AAATATATCATTGATAATTGTTTTCTTGCCTGCAAGTAGCCGAATATCATGTCATTTCTTTTGAAAAGGCAACACTGAAATACAATTTCATATTATTTTAAGTTACTTCTACAAGACCCTTATGAGAAGTTGGATACATTTGTTCCCTAAACATGTGTCATTGTACCTTTTTTGTAATCGTTCCCTTACACCAGGAACAATCCTATTAAACACAAAAAGGATAGAAATGTAAAAATATTTAATGACAAAAAATTGATAATTTAGGAATATCGGTTTTACCTTGCATAACGAAGTCAAATCACACAAACATCTGATACATTATTTATGCTTGATTACTATTATATTCAAACATATTCTATTGACATTGATCAGTCCAATGGATTGGTCACAATATCTTAAAATATATTTAATAGATTAGTATGATACTGGGTAATTAAATGGATCACTCGTCAGAAGCTGCTATTTTAGCATATACAGGTTTGTGGCCTTTAATAGTCGATACAAAAATATTCTGATTGAATGTAAGATGTGAATAAGTAATAACATCATGGAAGGTGTTAATACGATACCAGCGATGAAACTAAAAGTTTCGTAAGTGTTGGAGGGTAGTCCATTTGCTTACATTTCAAATAAATTATTTCCACACTTGATGAGAACGTGTAATGTTATTTATCATTTATTTCATTTTTTTCAATAGTTCTTTATCTATTTTGTTTAAGAGGGAGGCTATCCCACTTAGGTCCGTCCCTGTGATAATCTAAAACATATTTTGATTTTCAAAAATTCCTTATCACTGCTTACTCTCAGTGTCCCCTCTGATGTACCACAGGCGATAAATGTAATGTGTTTGGACTGGAGAAAGGATAAAAACATCGTTACTGGGTCATTGGTAATTAAAAAATAAATTTGTGCATAAAAAGATACGAAGCACACTATGGTCCTGGTGAAATGAAGATAGTCCCCTTCAAAGGGGCACATGTGCTCTCTGGTATGAGTCACCAACGAGTAGGGTCTAGATTACATACTTACGTAATGCGTTTATAAACTGATGTTGTCTTAACTATTTCAGAAGTCTGTATTCTTAGATCTGGAAATAAAGGTCGAACATTTTTATGATGATTTATATACATTTCTTCCCGTGAAATATCAAATTCTATCAACATGACAATTATGTTTTTCACTCTGTGACAGATATCAAATATCGTTTTTGATATAGGCCAATCAGAACGTTCCTTTCTATTCACTCCTTTCAATGCCTCAGATTTTCTCTTCCAATACAAATTAGGTGACGGTAGAATATGTGATTGTTCCTGTGTGATGTTTTCTACATACACTGGGTTATTTCTTTAACAACTTAATTAATCAAATTAAAGCAGAATGCTAGATTTGTTTTAAGTAGCTTATCCAAAATGTAGCCGGCCTTGTTGTCATGTGTGGCGTTCATTAAAATAATGTACATTTAAATCCTAATCGCCTTTGATGCAGTATCATTTTCGTGTCTGTATTTGACAATATGCAATGGGTTCTTTTTTAACGTTTTTCATATACCACTCGCATGGCAGAGATATACCCGATATTTGCGATTGTTGTCCGCACACGAAGAGGCATTTAGGCATTCTATGATACTCTATAAATATATATAGTATGCATCCTTAAACCCATTTAATACCATTTATACCTTTATTTCCAATGATATTCGACACGATTGTTACATTTGACGAGAGTATTGTTTGAACTTGAAGTTGTACAGCAATGAAATAATAACTTGTTAATCTAAGTTATATCCTACTACAAATTGGCGGTACACCTCTGCTTTGTCACCAATGAAGTAAACCGTGGATATAACATAAAAAGTATTCAATGTTTGTTATTACCGAGGATATTAGCTTCCCTTTGATATCACTTAAGGAAACATTATCCGACGTCTGCCTTGGCCAGCAGTGATGTTATCGGCAATCAATGACTAGAAGAAGCAAGGGTTAAATACGATTTATTTGCTATCTCCTAGGAAGCAAGTACATGTACTATTATTACAACATTTGAATGTTATATCATTATAAATATTTGGATTACTTTCTAACGTGTCATTTTACTTGAATATACATGTGTTTTACTTTGATCCACGCAAAGATCTGCATTAACTGACAAGTTGACGCGTAATACTGAAAATGTCACAAATAATACTCGTCCAAACGAATTTTGTTTTCGAAATAACCAATTGCACACTGCAAAAATTCTCACTGAATGCCGTCTTATACAATAATGTTTATCCAATGACATAGGTTCTACGACTTTGTACCTGTATCTATAATCTATAACTAATTTATTAAATATTCTTACTCCGTTAAATATACATTCTATGTTATATGTACGCACTTTATTATATATACCTATTCTATTAATAATTACGTACCTACTTAATCATATATGCCTTCCCTGATTATGAACACATTTTTTATTTAATATATACGTCCTCTTTTCTACAAACCTACATTTATACCACTTTATCCTAAATATATACTCCTAATACATGCTCCTTTAAATGTATACCTACTCTAGTATACATACCTACACCATTGTATATACATTCTTATATTCTAATATAAAAACCTACCCTATGATATATGCATACTCTTTACATGTACCTTCTCTATCATATATATGCCTACTCTATTATATATACAATACTTTATTACTCTATTATTTATACCGACTGCATTATATATATACTGTTTTATAATAAAAAGGATTAAATGTAAATTTGAAGTAAGTAAATATAGAAAAATATAAGATCTAACGACCGACTATAAAACAAGCTGCTTTCACCCTTCACAGGGCTCTTCAGGTTTGTATACTTTTTATGAGTAAACTATCTAATATACATTCTCTTATAAATATGCATGCTCTGTTGTACATGCTTATACTTATATTCCATTACAGATAAATAATTTCTTATTTGCCAATTTTATTATGTACATGTATTCATACACGTACTTATTCTTTAACTTCATGTTAAAAATATGACTTTTGTATTTGTACCAAACTTATATACGAAAAGTTTTCAAATTTGACATTTGAGCTATGAATGAGTCCGATCTCTGTTGATTTACACGAAAGGTTTGAATCACAATATAATCATTACTTGTTACGCGTAATACCCAGATGCACCACTCAGCGGTCTCCAGCTCGAAATCCGCCGCATTGTACGTGTCCGATACTAGGCTATACGAATAACACAGTTATACACTGCACACCAACATAACCACATTTAGACGATGAATTATTCATGAAGTAGTGTATAACCCGGTAATTGTGTTTCATAAACAACATTATATAATGTTTCAATACGTCATTCAGTGACACTTCCCAGCATTTGTAAACATGTGAAGTTGACAGACGTGTAGATTACCTTTGACCAGGTTTTACCTGTTAATTACACATCCATGTGAGAATGACTAGTCAGGTACACTCATTTAGCTCTAGCTCGTGACACTTTCACATTTTTCTATAAATGTTTTCGCAAGACGTTGTCCATTTTTTACCTTGCATTTTCTTAGAAAATTTCCTCAAAATGCTGTTTATAAATTTATCATTTAAAATACAAAAGATAAAAGAAACGCTCTTCAACGTATGACAAGGGCGCCAGTTAGTCAAAGTCTTGGCACTCAGGGAATCCGCTAATATATATGTATGTAGTGAAATACATTTTGTGCTTGCCCTATTAAAAGTATTGCATACAAACATGTGTAAACATGTAAAGATAATACTTATCTCTTCTATCTGTACTAGCCATAAGGCAAGCTCACTGCAAGAAACACACTGTACAGTATAATTCCAATACAGCACTGACATATACCTGATGTGTATCAAATGAAGATTTGCAGTACATGTTCAAACATTTGATTATCATATATCAGATAAAGTCTACATTGTATTTAAGCTTATTTACACAATTAGATAATTTCAAAAAAGAAACGATCACGGAGAAATGGGCACTTGATGCTGCTGTGCACAGGATTGCGATCACCGCTTGGTATGGTAGAATGCCCCTTACAACAACCTTGCAAGAAATTTAAAAGACAATACACCGTCTTAAATAATAGAATGAAGATGACTAACGCATTGCTTTAGCAAATTTAGAAAGAATTCGAAAAGAAAATTGTTTCAGTGTTCAATCCAGCTTCCAATATAACATTCCTTGAGTGTTTGTTCCACTTTTTCTTTGTCATGTCATATAAATTGTTATACGTACACTGTACACAACTTAACATACCCCATACTAAACTGAAGGCGCACAGAACTTTTTTTCAATAGAGAGCGGCGTAACAAATAAATGATATTGAACAGCTGTTTAAGCATATGTTTTACCAGACTGTTGACAAGGTCATAAATGCAAACCGTGTACTTGTGAGAAATATCGATGATGAGTTACTTTTAACAAACAAGACATGGTTCGGTCTTATATGCCGTCAAACACTGCAGGGCAAGCACTTGTGTTGCTGTGAAGCATTGCTGCACAACACTATAGCTACGAACAACAAAATGTAAAGTAAAGAGCTTTCAAAAACATTGTTTTTAATGTTTTCAACTTATAAATGGCTGAAAAATACGGTTATGAAATATTCGACTGGTGTCATTAGGAATCGCATCGTTTGCAGTGGGCAATACTAGTTTACTGTTTAAACATAATCAAAGTGGCAATACGTAGTACTTTGAACAAGATTGTTAACCTGTTTCATGAAACTAATAGATATTTTAAAGTCTATAAGTTGAGCTTAACTATTTGTATAGGGTCAACAGTTCCTGTTCAAGAGTCACAACATCATGTGGTTTTGAGACTCGTACTGTCAAAGGGTAATGGATATATATTCTGACCATAAAAATGTAATCATACTATAGGATATTTTGCATAATCGTCTATATAATGGATACTCCTTATGAAAACACTTTTGTTATTCATTCTTATTTTGATATATAACATATCATTGATTTACCACCAGGGTGCAGCACTTTGACTCCGACTGTAATTCAAAATCAGCCTTAGCGGCGGCTGTTGACGCAAAGGAGAGTTTCGAGCCTGACCTTTTCCTTGGACCTCCTTGCTCCGCAGGTAAGCGACAGTTCCGCCAAATTTGAAGTATCAACACGCAATATTACATAGATGGATACATGTTAAATTGTTTCTTTTATCAATATATTTGATTATTCCTCTGTGTTTCAAAAACAGCTAAATGAAGCATACTACTAAAACTGTTAACTGATTGCCTACCTTCAATCCATGTTATTATTCTGTTGCATTTTATTCCCGATGATATCTGTGTTGGGCTTTCCATTTTGTTTTGAATCGTGGCCTTGAGTATTCTTCTCCGATTAGCTGTAGAAGACATATTTACATGCAAGAAATTGTTTTCTGTGTTACCAATTGGTAAAATGCCGACAATACTATTCTGTGGCGGGGATACTCATTTTTGTTAGGAACAAATACCGTATATGCGTCGGATTATACCACAAATGTATGTCATAATTTAAATCGTATCTGGGGTTCATACATATCTATGTCAAGGTTTAATACGTGTATGTCAGTATATTATACACCTGCTTTATATCACACATCCAGGCAAAGGTATGGTGCATATATAGTTTAATGCTTTTCATGGTGGATGATTAGATGCATGTTGACCACAAAATCTTTCTACTCTCAGCTATGAAAGGCGTTGCACAGTTAGCATCTCACTGGAACATCCCTGTGTTCGGCTGGGTATCTAACGACGTTGAGTTCCAGAACAGGACGACCTACTCCACACTTATCCGACTTCTGGGGCCGCTCAATAGGTTACGTACGTATACCACAACACCAGGTGCTTGACGTGTACTGTTACGATATAATACATATTACCATATTTTAAATAATCTCCATACTCGCAAAACCATGTACTGTGGAAAGGTGTCTAAGGGTTTAACACCCTAGCATGACATATTTGTGAAACAACTTTTGGAATTCGTAAGTTCCCTGTTTGTATACATGTGTTACAATGGAAGGTTCAACTTTCAGTTCTGAAACCCCGTTTTAAGCATTTAGAAAGCGATGTCAATGCCTGTTTAATGTTGATAACAGTTCTATTTATTGCCCAAGATTAAATAAAGTATGTTGTTTGTATAAAACTTTGTACACGTTTCAGTCTATACATTGGGTATTCATCATGGTTTTAGGAAAAGGTAAGCCTTTTCAAAACATTATTACCTAACATACGAACAGGGTTTTCAGGTTATTTGTTTGAAATATTATTTGAATATACTGGAAGTATTCTTCAATAGATATACATACCTATGCATCACACTAATTTGATCTTGAATGCTTTTTTAATATTTGTTAAACAGATTTTTTTTTAAATATTTGTTAAACAGGATTCTAAACGTTGTACTTGATAATATTTTGTTGTTATATAATCTTGATTTAGAGCGACACCTGGTTTTTGAATATAGGTCAAAGACAATAAATGCAACGTTCCGAAACTGTCGCCATAACAACGAAACAACAAGGACAGTACAATCAGAAGGATATTCAAATATCGACGTTTGTTTCGCCTAAGGAAAATGAACCTTATCATACGATCATGCTTGCGACCATTAAAATGTTCAACTTCTGCTGTTCTGTAAAGTTGTGCGTTATTATTCCAAATTGTGCAATAAGGAGAATTATCCTGGATCAAATGAGATGTTAACATTATAGGTAGAATGCGGACATGTTTCAATTAAAAAAGGAACGTTTGCGATCAAACATCGTAGTTGTTACGCTTGTCATACAACCTTGTAATAGGCAAATCCTATTAGTATTCTGTTGATAAAGATCGAGATAATTTAGGTTGATGAAGAAGAATCTGAAGTGTCATTGACTTCAAGTCAGGTGGATCAGTATATACGATTGATAAATTTATTTTCATTGAAAGATATACAAATATCTGAAGCTAAAATTGAAAGACATTCCTAAAATCTCTTCGATTATTTCAGGCTCATATAAAACAAAATAGGCCAAGAGTGGGAGCAGCGTGTTTTCATTTGAAGATGTATTCGCTTGTTAAAGCAAGTGGTCAAATTATTTTATAGTTGCTTTTAAACTTATTTCCATCTTTATAATTTCTTCGTACATTTAACCTTTTTGTAAGAAACATATTGTATATAAACATATCCCGTTGTAGCCATCACTATGAAGTACGTTTCCACCGTGTTTAAATGGAAACGCTTTGCCATGATACACGACGACCGCGACCCCTACAAGGCTGTGGCCGAGGCCATCAAACTAAGTGACAGCAATTACTTCATCAACAGTACTCATGCTGTCAACCCGAATATGGAAGACGCTCAAGTCGCAAAGATATTCAACCAGGTTAGGAAATACGCCAGAAGTAAGTTGTTTTCCACTTAAACACAAAGGATGTAAGAAGTATAAAGTCGTAATGTCCCCAAGTTCATTTAAAGAAAATAGTTCACATTTGGCGCGAAGTAGGCAAACAGTAAATTACTGTCGGAAGTAGTATAAAGAGAGGTTATCCAAAAGAATCAGAAGCACACTAAGAAATAGTAAGCTAATGGAATCTGAAACTGTACAAAACATCAGTAATAAAAATCGAAATGTATGCCATCAGGTAGCCAGTCTCAGGACGAAAATAAAGTCAAGAACAAAGCGAAAACTATATAATATGTTTTGTTAATCGATAAGTCTGAACAAGTATGCTAACTCTAAGTACAATATATCCAAATAAGATATTATATCGCTATTCTTTCTTCTATTAGAAATGTATCTGCTCTATTTTTCTGTAGTTTTGTATCTCTTGAATTGATCACATTTTGCCTGTTATAGTTATTATTTTTGCTGTACCCTGGATGGAGATGAGAAAGTACATGTTGGTGGCTCATCAACTGGGTATGATACAAGGAGATTTCGCGTTTCTTTGCATACACGGAGACGTAAGTAGCAACTATATGTACGCGGTGTTTAGTACATGCATGTCTGTCAGGCAAACTAGGCAACCACACCTGTAGTTACAAGCTGTTTAGTTTATGCGTGCTTGGGACATCTAGGCAGTTAACTTGGTATTTTAAAGCTGCTTTGTCCTTGGGTGTTTATCAGGAAACTATCTGGTATAACAAGTTGTCTAGTTCATAACATTTATCAGGAGACATCTAGCCAACTAACTTGGTACATTACAAGCTGTCTAGTTCATTATGTTTATCAGGCAAACTAGGGCTTCCAGCTTACAGTAACAAACTGCCTAGCTCATGTCTATGTATCAGTAAAACCAAGTCATCACAAAGTCATCTTTCAAGATACAAGGAAGCAGACACTGCTGGTGAAGTTTTGAAGTCACCAAGACTTGCCATTACCTCGATGGCCACAATTATTCCTTTTGAGAATTATCATGGATTATCATATACGTATTCTACTCATTATTAGTTAAAAACTAACTTGTACTGTTCTGGAATTTCAACAATTAAGGGGTTTCATATCACCTCTTTATGTATCAACGGCAGATTATAGCAGTTTTGGTTTCAACCGTTTTTCCCCCGTAGTCTCACCATTGAGTCGTAGAAGCACGAAATGATTGTATTGTGCAGTCAGTTATATTGGCATGCTGTAATAATAACCAAATTTTGTAGGCGAAATCACAGGTGTATCTTACGTTCATTTCGTAAGTACTATTGAAGCTGCCTTGATCATGTATGTTACGTAGTAGGTAAAACTAGAAAATAAACTTTTCACCACATGCAATTGTTTTCATTTGTCTCACTAAAACGATGTATTTATTACTTTTTCTTTGGTTAGGTGTTGCCTTATAAAGGTTGTCTTAGGATGTTTAAGTAATGATAACCGTATTGATATTGTTTTCTTGTTTTCTGGCTAAGCTTATGCAATTATTAGAGGTTAAGTGTTCACCAAGTGTGGCTAGGCGTAGGGTAAATGTGACACATATTCTTACAATAAATTCTAAAATAATGTTTCCTATTACAAAAAAATTAACTTGTGAAAAGCAACACATCTTCTGATAAACGAAAATATTTTTTCTGTTATTGAATTACAGTCTTTACCTCAAGTCAATCATGCATTATGTACGTCTTGTTAATGCAGCATTAAACTATCAAACGAAATTAATTGAATTTATATGAGTTTTTATATCAGGTAGAAAAAACATATATAATTACTATTGATGATTTACACATTCAATAAAAGATGGGTCAGTTGGAATACTTCCACAGACACTGTGTGTATTGACAAAGGAGCATGTGTTGCCACGCGTTTATTACGAACATTACTGGTGAATTAAGTAAAACTTTGCTATTACATATTTCCCTACTGATATTGAAGATATGGCCCAGTTGGCTGTATGTTGAGGTTGCTGTGGTAACCCTTGTCACGGCAAGGTCGATAATGAAAATACATTAAGGTTATAAAAACTAAGATGTCACAGGCTGACTGAGCAAATTCATCAATTCATCCAAATTAACCGCGTGGAACATTACCCTTTTACTATTAAAACTGTAAATGAAAATAAATGTTAGGAGTATATAGTTCATATAGTGTTAAAATGTAAAAAGGTACATTTTCTTCGACAAAGTGTGTCAAACAGGTAGTACAAACTATCATCATAACTATAAGAATATTAGTTTTGATAAACTTATAGACGTTTTCTAACTCTACAGCTGTTCACATGGGATGTCAATGAAAGGGACATAACCTCAGACCGAGGCTGGAAAAGAAACGACACACACGACGAAGATGCACGAGAAGCCTTCGAGTGCGTTATCCACGTGAGTTTATTGACGTTCAGTTACGATATTTTATTCTGTACTTATACGCGTTTTTCAATATTTGCCTCACTTCTCTAAATAGATGTTTTTATACAGAAGCATCCGTTTCAGTTTCAACACGAATGTTGTGTATGTGATCTCTATGACGTCCATCATTTATCATAAGTACTTTTTACCCGACTCATAGACTTCTAACATACTACATAATTAGAGGATGACCAGTGCAGCATGTTGCTTCTATGGTGGCACATTCCTGTTTTCGTAGATAAGCATGGACACTCTGCCTCCAGCGCGGGCTAAGGAGTTCCAGCAGTTTGCGTCGCAGTATGCCCATCAGCAAAGCACGAACTGGATCAACCTGCCGAATGGTACCACGGTAGGTTCACGTTAGACGTTATCTCGATCAGCCCGCAGTTAATAGTTCCATATGATCCTCTCATTAAGCATGGCATGCTTAGCTAGAATATAAAGGAACGATAATGTGCCTCGATTTAAATGACAGATATGACTCTTTCCATCAAGTTTGTTCAAACAAACGCGAATCTCTGAAGGAGTTGTCGTTTCCCTCAATAGTACAGGTAGGGCCCTAGTAAAGTGTGCTTCCTGTCAATATTTCAAGCTCCCCTCCCTGATGCTCAATATCTATAACAAGTCTTTCGGAAATTTCGTTAACCTTTGCCTACAAATAAATCGCTGATAATTTGCTATTATTCAAACGCTTCAATTAGAGCTGTACATCGCCTTTCATTTGTATACCATTGATACATCTCAATCATATTTGATGTAAGTTAATATTAAGACATCCTACATAAGAACCTAAATGTTGATAATTCTTCTGTGTTTTGCATATATCATCCATCATCCGCTTTGATAACTCCTTCTGAAATTCTCTTGTTGTCTATTTGATCTTCTTCGTTAAAGTAAAAATAACCAACAGATTAAAATGAATTATAACCATTGACACTATAATGATATGTTTCTTTTGAACAATACTTTGACAAAATATTTTCCCCATATACACACCTCTTGCAGTACAATTATTACAATTCTTCTCAATATGAGTATTTTGAACGTAAAATGTAATTTACAATAAAAAAAAACCCACCCAGACGAGCAAGGGTTTTACTCGTGACCAGTCTTCTAAACCTACCCTTATATGTCTATTCAAGAATTGTAAATGCAGATTATTAAGATATAAAAGTTAGTAATTCTGTCTTGTTTGCTTTTATGCTTTATATATGGGGGTATTCTAAAAAAGAAAGAGGTTATAACTGGTTCGGTAGTACCATTTACCTTCAAATACTGTCTCTTATAGGCTGTTGGAGATTTCTAATTATTTATTGTATAAATTCTTCGCCTGCTTGCAGCCGGACGCCTACTCTCCCTACTTATATGATGCGACATTGGCCTGGGCAATAATGGTTGACAAAACCTTGTCTCAGAATGAGGTTCCTAACGGCAATAATCTCTTCAAAGAATCGGTGGACTTCTTTGCAGATGGTAATGTATAGAGAAATATAACGCATGTACACTTGTTTCCTTGTAAACAAATCAGATGGAAATCGATTTCTTATCGTATAAAAATGTTAACGCGGTTGCCCAATCACATTTTCTTTTAATTAAATAAAGTACTACCGAGTGCAATCTGTTTAATTATGATACACTGTGTGTTGATTGTCAGGAGTGACCGGGTATATCGTGCTGGACTCTATTGGAGACCGCTACCTAAACTTCCGTATGATGGACATGCAGGAGGATGGAATATTCAAAACAGTCATAGATCTCCAGTACAACATGACAAGCTTCGTTGCAAGAACCGTACGTTATTACATTAGACCAAACTACCCCTATATGGTCATAACACAAATTTAATTCCTCATAATCCTTATATAGTTAAAACACAAAAAGTGTTTTGTTTTTTGTTTTCGGTGTTCTATTAAATCTATCAATGTTAGGTGGCTGAACGTTGCTTAATTTTATTTAATTAGCGTCTATAATCCATTTATTAAATGTCTGTACACAGTAACCTACACAAGTAAAGAAATTAAATATCTTAATAAAACATTTTGAACATCGTCTTTGCAACAGGCTTAATAAAGATAAATGACCTCCTTTTGTGTTCCTAGGCTGTTGAGGACCCGGACCTCGTGAGATGGGGAGGAGGAAAGAAGGGGATCAAAAACGCTCCTCCTGATGTTCCTGCATGTGGATTTGACGGCGAGAAGTGCGCTAAACCCGAAAAAGGTGGTTATTTGATTGTCTTGTGTAAAATGGTGTATCTGACTTATGGCGTTATGTGAACGGACACTTCTCCTTTGACGATTCTAATCATCTGGATTAGTTCAATCAAAGATAGATAAAGCTTCACACTTTTGCATATAAAGCATGAAGATATTTACTTAGATTTGTGATAGTTCAGGTATATTCAAACATACAAATGGAAGACGACTGGCATATGAAACTTGTGTATAGGCATTTGATTTGTTCATATTTCCGTAGTGCATTGTTCTGTTTGAATGAAGCTAGTCTTGGTGGTTAATCAATCTCTGTGGTGAAAGTCAGTTATAATCCAACAGTGCTTTATCTGAGGTGCAGGTCAATATTGGTAGTGCATTATTCTTCTATAGTGAAAGAAATCCTGACAATTATCTGTTATGTTTATGGTGAAGATGGGTCGTTGAGTTGCATTGTCTTATTAAAGATTAATCGTAATCTTTGATATGCTTTCATGTTGTTTTTAGGGGTATTATGCACCTCCCCATCTGTTACAACAGTTGTTTTGACAAATTTAGATTCTTACCTTTATGTCCTTATAGCATCACTAATAAGTTCTGAAAGGACGAAACAATGATATGCTACAGTGTAATTGAATTGTGGCATGCTGTATCGATAACAAACTAAAGAGATGCTATGCCATTCCCTATAAGAAATAGTTGTACGGAGGCTCTTGAAAAACAATGTAAGGATATTAAACAAGAGCACTTGAAGGGAAAATGTTTTCTTTTTCATCGAGGACACGCGCCTTGTAATTTTAGGTCAAATCAATTAAATATCACGTTCTCAGAATATTGGTACAAAGTTCTGGAAATGCATTGTTCTGAATTGATTAGTCGCAAGACTTAAAGTTAATAAAGAACTTGAACTTGAACTTGAATATAATAAAGGTGTGTGATAGGGTTGCAGTATAGTCGAAGAGATGTGTTGCGATCAGCCCTCGTAGTGTCATTGTTCTATACAGAATGTCTAACCAGTCAGCAGGTCACTGCTGGTGCTGCAATATTATGAGCTGTAGGAGTAGTGCACTGTTCCTTTTAAGGCAAAATTCATTCATGAAACAGCAATGCTCATTTGGCGATATGTTGTCTTCTTTATCACATGATAAAATCACGCTGTTATATTCGAATGTCTATAGTTCATACCCTTCTATAACGTCCCCAAAAGAGAATGTAAACCTCGTTTGAAAGAATTAGGAAACTTATAAAAATAAAATGTAATCAAATTCATGCTCATAGAGTTCATGTCTTCATAAGTTAAAAAAAAATGCATATTTTTTTCTTAATAATATATTTTAAGTAATTTGTAAAATCGTTTTGCGTAATTTGTATTGTAAATTGTCTTTTCCTTAACGTTTTCGCGTTTGAAACGAAACGGTAACTTACAATACAAGCAACATTGATCATGCTATATTAAGCTTCTGTTTTTAATTTGCACAGATAATAAAGCCACTGTAATAGGAGTTGTGACCGTTTCGTTATTCGTGTTGATTGTGATCATCATATTTAACATCGTACGAAGGTAAGTTCATTTAATATGACTCCCCATTGTCGGGTAGTAGTTATAGTCAATGTATTAAACACCGTACATAGGTAAGTACATTTAATATGACTCCCCGTTGTCGGGTAGTAGTTATAGTCAATGTATTAAACACCGTACATAGGTAAGTAGATTTAACAACGTCAAGTGACCGGGTAGTAGTTATAACCAATATTTATCACCGTACATAGGTAAGTAGATTTAACAACGTCCTGTTACCGGGTAGTAGTTATAACCAATATTTATCACCGTGCATAGGTAAGTAAATTTAACAACGTCCAGTGACCGGGTAGTAGTTATAACCAATATGTATCACCGTACATAGGTATGTAGATTTAACAACGTCTAGTGACCGGGTAGTAATTATAACCAATATATGTAACACCCTACATAGGGGAGTAGTTATAGCCAATTTATTTAACACTGGACAAAGGTAAGTAAATTCATTCGCGTCTAGAGGTCACGTAATAGTAATAGCCAATATATTAAATATCATAGGAATGTAAGTAGATTTATCAACTTCCCGATCTCGGGTAGTAGCTAAAGCCAATATCATTTTTAACATCGCATGAAGGTTAGTAAGACGATGTCCCGTTTTAGTATCGTGTTTGTAACACACATTTAATATCGGATGGAGGCGAATTAAGTTTATCCTCAAGGTCTTATGGCCATGTCGTAGTTATAGCCTGACTGGTTATTATGAAACATAATTTGTTTAAAACACATTGTTTTAGAACTCTTGCCGTAATGGCAGTACTCAAAATCATCGGATTATTTTAATGTTTTTGTTGAAATAGATTCACGTTGCCGTCATGGTTCTATTGGGAAATATATTAGTTGTTCTTGTGATATGAAGGTCGATATTTTTATTATGCTTACAAGTGAAAGTGATGCTTGTTATGTAGTTGTCACAGCCCCAGTTCTCTACATGAGGACGTGACATTCTTAGATGACCTCGATGCACACGTTTGCTATTGTTATGATGTACTAATGACACGTAACCTTTCACCTGGTTTTACACTTCTTGTACTTTCTTAAGGGTTTCCGTGTAAATATTTCCTTTGTTCAAATTATCAATATAAATATCGTTATCATGATGACATGAGTTCAACAAATCGTATATATCAGACTATAAGTCGATTAAATTACTTACATAATTACAACTTGTTTTTCATAAAACTTGTAATTCAATTCAACAATATAGTTTTATAAAAATAATTGTCATGTTGTATAGTTTGTTATTCTCATATAAGCTTGATTATAATACAAGCATGGCTGTTACGATATTCTAGCTATAGCCCATCTGTTTGAATGGTAATGCGATTTATTTAAGGTAGGTCCTGGAGAGACACTAAAATGAAATATTGCACAGGGCTTAGTAGATTTTACGTGACGTTTTCATGTTTGTGTTCCTTGTTTCTCATGCATCCCTTGTACTACTTCGAAACTTTAAGGTAAGTAAACTGAGCATGGCGCTCAAAGTGTGTCCATTGTAACCCTCATACTATCAAAGAACTGAGGTAAGTCATTTTAACAGCACTTTATTGAAATTGTATCTATTAACCATGGTGTCGAGGTTAGCATTTTTTACTTTTCAGTTTTGTTTATTTCGAAACTCGAAATTTAACGTTATTATATGGAAGGTTTGAAGACTAAATGTGATTATGTCTAACCTCGCACTCGACGACAACACTGTACTTCGCAGTACATCGACCTAACTGTCTTCACAGTGTCAGATCGACTGTAAAGAACGACCGGATGTTCACACTAGAGAGCTTTCGCCCGACTGTTTGTAAAAACTGTGGAGCAATAGATTCATCGTTGTGAATAAGGTAAGTTTCTACATCACTTGCACGTGCCAGCTCGCTTTTGATAATATGCTCTGCACCATTGCAAATAACCCAAAACGTCTCTTTAAATAGCACAAAGTATTTGATGATAATTTTAATATATTTAAATATGCGGTACATTTGATCTAGCAACCCATCATCTAACTTGACAACTTAGTATTTATTGACTTAGTTCTTGAGTTTTCACGGTATCATATGTTGCAAATCTTGAAAATCTTACCACATCGGATCAGAAAAATTCTAGCTTTAAACACAATATAATTCTGATTTAGTATATGTTCGTTTAAAGCTTGTTGGGTTTGACTCAAGCAAATTTGTACGCATTAAATGTATGGGTACTTTAACGTATTCCCTTGTTTATATGACTCGGGTATACTTGTCTGTCCTTTTACCTTCATCATACATCACCACCGTTCCGTGCAGTGTACAATATCCTTTTTTCTTTACTTGTGTATGTGTTTTACGGATTTTCTTCGTTTTATTTCAGGAGACGGATGAAGAAATTCTACAAATAGTCACCTATCAATGTTACAAGAGATAACTCGGTTGAAATTGTTTTCGATTTCTTAGTTATACAGATTTCGGTTTTATATATATAGATAAACGTTTGTTTGTAATTAATTACAATAACACTAAGTATGTATACTAAATGATTAATTGACATTTATTTAATACAAGTTTATGAATTAATTTCATTTAAATAAATATCAAAGTAACCGCGTGTTACAACATCAAATGCACAGTAATTACTTTGTGATATTATGATAGCTGATACAAACGAACAATCGAGACATTGAAATAATGAACAAATAATCAGAAAATTCAAAAGATTCGATCAATTTGTTGGATGCATTTATAAGTGTATTGATTTATACCAATATAGGATTTCAAAGGTTTCTCTACAATAAAATTGCTTGCCTTCCTAGCGTGTTCTTTATTTCTTATGTACTGCTTAGGTAGAGGTATCAGAAATCCACTTTGCTTATATAACACTTAACCATGACCTGCCTTTCGTTGCGTTCTTTGTTGATTTTACTTTCAAATCTTCGATTACATTGTGGGACCCCGTAGCATTGACACCTTATCTTAATGAAGCGGGGCAGCCTCAATACAGTGCAGTTCTTTAAAAATGTCATATTTAGAATAAAACATATTTCATAGTCAATCGAATTGTTTCAATTGGGCAATCTTTCAAATATAATGCATCACTTCAGATTTATAACGCGTGTAATACAATAAATCATTCAATAGACGTAGGTCAATGTTATGCAAATCGAAAAAGTATTTTGTTGCATAAACAAAACTCTTTTATATAAATGGACTTATCTTTATTTCACATCTAAGAGAAGTGTATGCAATGTTTATATATTTTCAGGATTACTATGGCAAGGCTAACAACAACACTGCATGTCTTTATACTGAACAATCGCCTGTATCGCATATAAACGATTTGTTTTATGCTCCTATTATAATGCTTTACGGTATCGTTGTAACATCTTTCAGGTGGCGAAAAACAATGATTTGCCGATAGCAATAATTGTTTGAAGAAGGGTAACGAAAAGAAGAAAAGTACTTGCATTGATATCGCTTTTCTTGCGGTATTGAGACCCATACTTTTTTCGGCCGTGTGTATTTACAAGAATAGTTTGTTCGTGAATGCATATACACATTCAACTAATGCTTTTCTACATCGATCGGTACATACAACATATGATTACTGTATCTAACTTAAATACAACAGACATTTGTGCAGAAACCTACCCAACCGTGTTATATATCCAATCAGCCGACTCTACTGTACAGTAGATCTGACACAGTGGTATCTTGACGAGGTACGTTACAGTTATATATATGTTAAAGATATCACAGGTACAATTCTCGTATTAACATTGAACAATTAATATTTTTATGAGAGTTTACTTGATTCATGCTGTTGTTTGCTGGCATCATGACATCTGCTTCTGCTAGAGTGATAGCTTGGTCATTTCTTTACATGTGTTTCTGTTTTTCAGACGGTATCGACGACAAAAATTGTTGAAGAGTATGTTGTGGCAAATTCGATTCGAAGAAATAGACTTCGTAACAGCACTTCTGAACGTCAGTGTTCGCGTAAGTTGGTTTAACGTAGATCCGAATACAATATCATTGTATCGTTTAAATGTATTATCACATTAATAAGTATAAGTTGCAGAATAATACACTTAAGCCCCTTTATGACACCATCATTTAAAAATTTAATATCGGTAATTCGATATAAAAAAACAATTACATTGAATCTGTTCTGTCATTGATCAGTTATACTACTTAACTACTATCATTTTAACTGAGCTCACTATATATATTAAAACACATATTCGTCAGGACTGGATATAATTTATCATATATCGAATATACCTAAACGATAAGAATTTATGATGATGGATATTTAACATAAAAACAGTAGATAAAATGATTAAATTTCTTAGAAAATTTTAATCAAGACAGAAAAGATTATGCAAATATTACCTAAGTATGGCAGATATCCTTTCATGTGATATTGTAAAATCGAAATGTGATATATGTTGATAAAACAGACGTATTTTGTAATTCTTTATGAAATCCTTGCAGGCAAGTTTTAAAACGCAGGGTATGCGTCGTACAAATACGAAGAAGAACCTCATTAAGACCAAATCGCTGGAGAGGAACAATTTGGCCTATAAAGGTTCTCCCGACCAGTCCCCACTAAACTACCATAAACCAGACCATGGCGCCACTATGTTTGGGTCTGTAGCCTACATCAGAGGTATGTTTGTACGTGTGTATCCGTGTTCTAGAAGTAAAGATGTGATGTACATTAGTAATTGTAGCATCAAAGCGTATAGGTTTATAAGATATCACTGCATGTCAGAAGTTTTCAAGTCATTGAATAAAAGTTTAGTCTAAATAGAAAAGATGCCATGTGCTAGTTCCGCTAAGGTAATTATGTGGTATAAGATTAACGTTAATAAATTGTGTTTACGCTAGTCTTGAATTAAGTTTAAATAAATGATATCTTGGACGTGTCTCACGAATGGAGCAAAACAGAACCGATTTAACAACTTGTGCGACATCTCAACTTACTAGGAAATCATAATCTGTTTCTTCAGTAGTTCGTACGTTTTTTTGTGTGACAAACATTGAGATACCTTTTTACTATCGCTATTGTATGCCTTCTGTTTCTGTTCTTTTATATATTGAAAAACATCACTAGAACACCAACATATGCCATGTCTAAAAATTGTTTCTGATTTGATTAATGTATCCCTGCCTCTTACAGGTAGCTTAGTGTCGGTAAAGAGAATGTCCCGCAACAGTGTTAACGTAACCAAGGATGTTCTGCAAGAGCTCAATCACGTAAGTCTGAGAGTTTTTACATCAATTTGTTTTCGTCATTTATATGAATAATTCGGTCAAGGTTTGTCTTACCCATGTTTAAGCTTGTAATATAATTATCTTTGCTGGATAGCAAACCTTCCGGCAGAATGCTTGAATCATTCTATAGTGTTTGTCAATAGTGAAATTAGAACATTTTACGTAGCAAGATAGATACATGTTAACATTAAATAAAATCAACTGTGTACGTAAAATAGCTTTCAGCTTTGTCCCATATTTTATGTCAGTCACAAATTATGTACTGTTTGTATTTGCAGCTGATGGAGCTGAAGCATCAGAATGTGTGTGCTTTTGTGGGCGCATGTGTGGATCCTGGACGGATTCTTTTACTGTGGGAGTATTGTCCAAAAGGAAGTTTGCAGGTACGAATAATATTTTAAGTAGATGTATTTTATATAAAATAGTTGAATTTCCGACAGTTATGAAGAAAGAGTTATGATAACTTTAAGTGTTTATGTCTCATATCTCAGTTAATTAAACCATATTTGATGATAAAGAAAGAGAGAGATTTTTGACAAGACAAAAGAACATTAACGAATCCAATTCTGAGTATAACTAAAAATACATCTTAAATTTTCGTCATCTGTACATCAATATTGGCATTACGTATGTCATTTTGTTCTTCAGGACGTGATATGGAACCAGAACATCAAGTTAGATAGGATGTTTATGTTTGCTTTGACGCAGGATATTGCAAAGGTATGAGTAGCTCTTTATGGTACAAATATATATTGATATAATTATATATGTAATATAACAACTAAAAGTCAATTTTACAACCATTGATGTTTTTATCATAGATCTATATATTCTCTTCTTCAACAGTTTTTATGAAAATACAAAATCATTGATACATAAAGCTCTTTATTGCAACTTTAACGTTGTTTTTAAAATATAATATCATATGTAACTGAAAACACTAATTAGTCATTATCAACATTGGTGTTTTGAAGGGCCTTGATTTCATACACAAGTGTTCCATACATTACCATGGTAACCTGAAGAGTTCCAACTGTGTAGTTGATAGTCGGTGGACGTGTAAACTGACCGACTTTGGCGTGCCTACTATTAGACTAATGGACAAGTGTTCAGTCAGTGTCACAGACGAGGGAAGTAATTCAAGTAAGTTGAACAATGTATATCAAATGGAACAAGAAAATGGAATATTTTGAAATCCTAAGAGTGGCTTCAGATGTCAACAGTTTGAAGAAAAAATACCTTAATCTATATTTTTTAGAGTACCATTGAGGCTTATACATGTACATACCTTTGAAGAAAAGTAAAAACACTAATGCATGATATGGTAGTCATTCTGCAATGGCAGAGTGAGCTTATATAACGTTGTCTTTTCATAAATAAACGTTTTCCCTTTTCATAACCATCATTTTAGATTGGTGATATATGTATTAGAAAAGTATACAAACTGGGGGAAATTTGCATAAAAACTTGATGCCTAAATTATTACTACGGGTAAGAAACTAATCTAATGCTGATAAAATGAATAAATTGCGTGAATTTGACAATTGAATGTAAGTTTTAAGTTCTAAACAATATCGCTTTTGATATAGAGATATAATGTAAAATTAAAAGTTGACAAACTTCTTTGGAACATGTTTAAGTGTAAACATGTTGATGCCTACTGAACAGCTTAACCACGTTTTAATTAAAATTAAAGAAACATAGCCGTTTTCTATTAGGATATGATTTCTAACTGAGATGACAGTGATTCTGCCATAATTGAAAACCTGTTCACTGTGTTTAAGTTAGGTGATCTTTATAACTTACTGCATATTCCTTGACTAAAATATGCCGAATGCCGCCTGTTGTGTATGGCCATATGACACTACTTGAACTTCCACTGCTTTCGAAGGGTTTGTGTTATCTTGCCTTTTTGTTTTGATGTCGCCACTCCGATGTGCAGCTTGCATGATAACACTGTGGTATATTTTGGTTCGATTAATTTAGAAGTTCAATTATTTTCGGTAAGCGTTAACATACAATCAGTACATTTTCTAAACATTTACCTTACTACCTTCACCTTTCTATCAACATTACACAAACATGCTTACTTTTGCAGAATTCCTTTGGACCTGTCCAGAGGTTTTGAGGTCAGATAAAAACTATGACAAACAGAAGGCAGACATATATTCCCTTGGAATAATTATCAAGGAGGTATTCACCAGGTCGGGGCCTTACACGGAATATCCATTCCTTACTCCACATGGTAATTACGTTGCTTGATCCCCGATGCAATCATTCCTATTAATAGATGAATATATTCCGGCATGTATGCATCATATTTCCCATATAAACAGCTTTCAGTATGTATCATAAATGCTTAAAAAATATATTGTTACACATTTTATGAAAATAAGATATTTTAAATAGCGTTGGAAAACTGAAATAAATAACGGGATCATGTTTTTGAAAGTACAAATTACCGTCTAACCCATACGATTATGAACATTTCTAAAAGTTTTATCTGTAATCTGTTTGATATAATAAGTTCTTTGATAAGTAAAAAACAAAGATTAATATTGATAATGCATCAACAAGTTGTCTAAAGGGTAATTTTGTCACGACTACAGAGATAGTTAACAGAGTCAGAGACCGTGTTTCCCGGACAGCACATTTCCGGCCTATGATTTGTGCGGAGCTCCGGGAAAGCCCGGATTTGCAGTCCCTTATAGAAGAGTGCTGGAATGAGGATCCACTGATCAGACCTTCTGCTGCCAGAACCATGAAAGCACTCAACCGTATCAATCCATCCAAGTAAGCAAGCGTGAATAAAGGTGCAACAACACAAACTAATTGCGTTGATGTCAAACGTTAGACACATTAAAAACGTGATAACCATATAGTCAATTTATTCATTTGTAACTCAGTAATAAGGGAAAACCATATAGTCACTTTGTTCATTTGTAACTTAATAGTGAGAGTAAACCATATAGTTACTTTGTCAATTTGTAACCCAGTAGTGAGAGTAAACCATATACTCACTTTGTCCATTTGTAACTCAGTAGTGAGAGTAAACCATATAGTCACTTTGTCCATTTGTAACTCAGTAGAGAGGGTAAACCGTATAGTCACTTTGCTCATTTGTAACTCAGTAATAAGGGTAAACCATATAGTCACTTTGTCCATTTGTAACCCAGTCGTGAGGGTAAACCATTTAGTCACTTTGTTCATTTGAAACTTAGTAGTGAGGGTAAACCATATACTCACTTTGTCCATTTGTAACTCAATAGTGAGAGTAAACCATATAGTCACTTTGTCCATTTGTAACCCAGTAGTGAGGGTAAACCATATACTCACTTTGTCCATTTGTAACTCAGTAGTGAGAGTAAACCATATAGTCACTTTGTCCATTTGTAACTCAGTAGTGAGGGTAAACCATATAGTCACTTTGTTCATTTGTAACTAAGTAGTGAGGGTAAACCGTATAGTCACTTTGTTCATTTGTAACTCAGTAGTGAGGTAGACCATATAGTCACTTTGTTCATTTGTAACTCAGTAGTGAGGGTAAACCATATACTCAATTTGTTCATTTGTAACCCAGTAGTGAGGGAAAACCATATAGTCACTTTGTTCATTTGTAACTTAGTAGAGAGGGTTACCCATATAGTCACTTTGTTCATTTGTAACTCAGTAGTGAGGTAGACCATATAGTCATTTTGTTCATTTGTAACTCAGTAGTGAGGGAAAACCATTTAGTCACTTTGTTCATTTGTAACTCAGTAGAGAGGGTAAACCATATAGTCACTTTGTTCATTTGTAACCCAGTAGTGAGGGAAAACCATATAGTCACTTTGTTAATTTGTAACTGAGTAGAGAGGGCAACCCATATAGCCACTTTGTTCATTTGTAACTCAGTAGTGAGGGTAAACCGTATAGTCACTTTGTTCATCTGTAACCCAGTAGTGAGGGGAAAATCATATAGTCACTTTGTTCATTTGTAACTCAGTAGAGAGGGTAAACCGTATAGTCACTTTGTCCATTTGTAACTCAGTAGTGAGGGTAAACCATATAGTCACTTTGTTCATTTGTAACTCAGTAGTGAGGGTAAACCGTATAGTCACTTTGTTCATTTGTAACTCATTAGTGAGGAAAAACCGTATAGTCACTTTGTTCATTTGTTACTCAGTAGTGAGGGTAAACCATTTAGTCACTTTGTTCATTTGAAACTTAGTAGTGAGGGTAAACCATATACTCACTTTGTCCATTTGTAACTCAATAGTGAGAGTAAACCATATAGTCACTTTGTTCATTTGTAACCCAGTAGTGAGGGAAAACCATATAGTCACTTTGTTCATTTGAAACTTAGTAGTGAGGGTTAACCATATACTCACTTTGTCCATTTGTAACTCAATAGTGAGAGTAAACCATATAGTCACTTTGTTCATTTGTAACTCAGTAGTGAGGGTAAACCGTATAGTCACTTTGACATCCCTAGTTGAAAATCCAATGTAGGGAGACAGTGTCACTTTGTTCCTTTGTTACTCAGTAGTGAGGGTAAACCGTAAAGTCACTTTGTTCATTTGTAACTCAGTAGTGAGGGTAATAAATTACAACTAAAAAACATGTATCATGTGCCGGGTCGGTTAATTTGTCAAATAAATATCACTAAGTAAGATGATAAATAGATCACTTAAATAGTAGATTAGTTTCTGCAGATCGTTCATAATATAGCAAATACTGTGGTATACTCAATCGATTTGATATGTAGTTACTATAGTGGCTCTTTTTCTCCGTGTAAATACTGTGAAATTTATACAATTGTATTTTACACTTTAGAATTATTATGAATGATCTTACTGGTTAAAGTTGAAAACACATGATTTTTGTTTTCGTAGAAACATGACTATGATTGACAACATGATCGCTATTCTGGAAAAGTACGCTAATCACCTTGAGGAATTAGTGGCCGCAAGAACCAGTGAGCTGGACGCGGAGAAACAGAAGACAGAGAACCTTCTCTACAGGATGTTGCCACAGTATGTACTGATTTTTATTTTATATTTACGTAAAATGAAACACCGTTGAATTAAATTAACTTCATCAAAAATTGGCTGAAGAATCAGAGCATTTCACCAAATAATACTAAAATCGGCAATCACCAAGAGATTGATGAAAACACAAATAAATGTGTTGTATATGATGACTAGGATACGCTTATATTATTACTATTGAATAACCGTCGTGTGATGATTAAATACAAATTTCTGCATTTTCATAGTGCTACAATGCATTTCTTTGGTAAAAAAATAAAGTGTTTGTTCATGACGATGTTCTTTTCACTTTGCATCGTTTTCATTGCAACTCTCTTTGTTTTTGCGCAGGTCAGTAGCTGAGGACCTTAAAATGGGCAAAACAGTAAAAGCACAACATTTTGATGAGGCAACAATTTATTTTTCCGATATAGTTGGGTTTACAACGATCTGTGCCAGTAGCACTCCTATAGAGGTAGGTTACCTTCTGTTATATACAAACATGTACAGAGATTATTTCATGTGTGAAATCAACTTGTTTAATATACATGTATATGTAATCATATAAAAGGAAAAATCTTAATAACACGTATTCAGCGCTTTTATCTCATCAAGGAAATTCTTCAGACTGTTTATTTGAATCAGATATTATGACGTCATAAACTATGACGTCACATAAGAGTTCGCTATGGCGACGTCCGCTATATAGCGATATCACAGCAATAGAAATACATAATGATTGTCTGAAGGTTAAGAATACTATTGGTATAAGGGTTTAGTTTTACTATTAGTACTATTATTTATGAATCAATTATTGGGGAAAAGAGACCAACTTTCCGTTGTGTGGGGCAAACTCAGGACCATTATTTTACTGATCCGATTCACTACCGATGACACTACACCGGATCAATTGCGTGTACATTTACAAATATATCTCTTCTGTAGACAAAGAAAAATTGGCACTGTATCCGAACATACGCATGTTGGTTGGATGCGTGTGATATATGGGCAAAAGAGATAATATGACAGTGCAAACAAAAACATGGTCAAATTTTCAGGGCGATCCACCCTTTTATCTAGACAGGAACATGAACATTTACATTTCACAACATATCATAGAGATAAACAGTCACCATGAAACAATAATAAAATAAAATAAAAACCACGTAAACAAAAACAAACAGTAGTTTCTTATATGAAATATACTGTTGCATATTCCCTCGGTTAGCTTGTAACCGGAAACTAATTGTTGTAACAAATTCATCTTGAATTCATCTTATAAATATAAATATGTAATTATCTCATCAGTGATACAGAGGTTGCCCAACGGATGACAGTTATGTATCATGATCATCTTATATTGCTGAAATATTTTTTTTTATTTTTTTTAAAGAAAACCCGGTCCTTATTATTTCATTTTTTTGTTTATTTTTTTTGAACTTTTAAGTCAGTTTATCGGACACTGTTTTGATCGCTTTTTCTTTTGCTTATGAGAGTTAACCATTCATACAACTGCAAAATCCATTAAGGATCGTGGAAGAATCGTCGAACCACCATGTGCCACAGGTCATGATTAAGCTTGAAGTGTTAAGGATCCGGTTGATTTACACCGTTTAATCAACATTTTTGTTAAAAACACAGGCAAATAATTTAGAAATATATCCCCATACTATATTCGAGGCAATCACATTAATCAAAGATATAAGATGGATTTCGATGAACTTTTGCCAATGATTGTCATATATGTATAAACTTACTCATGTTTAACCAACATATTATTCAATGATTTCTTTATTGAAGCCGTGTAACCATTCAGACGACAGGAGTCAGTCATTGTCGGTGTTAAACATAATGAAATTAATTTTTTTTTGTGTGCGAATGAATATGATGTCAACCTTTGAAACAGTTTTAGTTTGACAGGCATACTATTGAATGTATCACTGAAATTTTGTTAATCAGATTATTGAACCTAGCATAAGCTCATAAAAACCCTATCGTTCGAATTATATGTAATGATATTCATGACACTCACTTATCACGTAACGTAACTAACGGTTTACATAAAAAAATGAAAATTAAGTGCAATAGAGTAAATGAATAAACATATTGTACAAATGTTCGATTTAACAGAATCGTTATTTTAGATATAGATTTTTTAAAATTATGATTGTATTGATTATCTGGCGATAAACTTTCCCTTTATAGGTTGTGAATCTACTGAACAGTCTGTACACGCTGTTTGATGACATCATTACTCGATATGATGTGTATAAGGTAGGTAATGTTACCAAAACTGTGTAACGCTTATCTAATGTATCGAATGAAGAAAAGTTTAAACATTCTCATTAAATCCCCGAAGTGCATATACAACTGTAATCTGATTTTAAAGATGACATGCTTTAGTGATGACATATTATACAGATACAGTACGAGTACGGGATCATTTGGAAATGAAAATTATCAATACCTTTTTTTCCCAATGATAACAATACTGGATAATGACTGATATGTAAAGAATTATTCTATTCACCAATTGTTTAATTTGTTTAATTGGTCATTTTACTTCAAAAGGGCATATTAGTTTAAACCGTGTTTTAAAAGAATAAAGTTTGATTAATGAGATGTTTCCACAAGTTTATGTGTTAATTTTGCTCCACAGTAACGGTATTTGAATTACCAATAGAAATTAAGCTACTATTTGTGTGGATCAGGTGGAGACAATCGGAGATGCATATATGTTGGCTAGCGGTCTACCAAATAAGAACGGCGCCCGACATATCAGGGAGATAGCCGATTGTGCCCTGGACATTCTGGCCTCAATTACAACGTTCAGCATACCTCATCTAGAGGACAAAAATCTCAGGATACGAGTCGGTAGGTACCGCATAGAAATATACGTCTCAGGAAACGAGTCGGTAGGTACCGCATAGAAATATATCTCTCAGGATACGAGTCGGTAGGTACCGCATATAAATATATGTCTTAGGATAGGAGTCGGTAGGTACCGCAAAGAAATATATGTCTCAGGATACGAGTTGGTAGGTACCGCATATAAATAAATGTCTCAGGATACGAGTCGGTAGGTACCGCTAATAAATGTATGTCTCAGGATACGAGTCGGTGGGTACCGCATAGAAATATATGTCTCAGGATACCAGTCGGTAGGTACCGCGTAGAAATTTAGTTTGATGTCACTGCAACCATTCATTGTAAATATCAGTAACATATCGCTTACAATATGCAGTATGTATAATTCGTTTTTCTAGTTTATTGAAGTAGACCAATACTTCAGTAATCGGTAATCATATCGAATATTCGATACAGCCACGTGTTCATGTGGAATAGTTTTCATTCTTTCTCTGTTTTATGTTTTTGCTTTTGTTTTCTTTTTCTTTTTAATGTGCTTATACATGAATGAACAGATAAATTATATTCAATTTTGCAGTGCTGAAATCATATCCTAGAGCTACTGTTAACATTGGAATTGTGATGATAAATATTATTATGATAACAACAACTCTCCGAACCACTTATCTGATTGAAATACATTGTCAGTTCCCTCTGCTTACAATGTTCACAAATCCTATTGGCAATTCAAAGGCAAAGTTTTAAACATGGTACAATATATGGCTCTTGAATAATTCTAACAATATATCTTCAAATAGCCTTATTAGAATGTTTGCCATGTCAAATCAGCAAATAGGGTTAGAATCATTTTGAGTATGCGAGTTGTACTTTGTAAAGCAGACTACAACTTCGGCATGAAGTTGCAGTTATGAAAATCTCAGAATAATTTCATTTTGTCTCATTATTTAACCGCTTTATCCTGGACGTTTGTGTTGATGATGCGTTGAAGTTGTAAGTTTATGTCGATATGTCGGCAGGTATCCACTCTGGACCGGTAGTGGCGGGAGTGGTGGGACTGGCCATGCCCCGGTACTGTTTGTTTGGCGACACCGTTAATGTTGCCTCCCGCATGGAGTCAACCGGATTACGTAAGTTTATACAAAAGTGAAAGTGGGTTTTTTGTATGATATCTTCATATTTTTTTTTATATAAATGTTTTGCTTAAATCAAACTGTTTATTACGAATTTTCAAACACCTATAGATCGATTCCAATAGGAAATTTTATAACAAGATTTTCTGCAAAATAGAGGCTTTTAATCGTTTTTGTTTTTTATACCCACTAGGAATAAGACTATTTTCAGCAAGAATGAATTTAATTTTTAGAGACGTATGTGTTATAACCTCAAACGTTTAATAATGTAAATTAACCAAAGTAACATTTCATATCTTGTGTTAACTTTGTAGCATTGAAGATACACCTTAGTACAATATCAAAGGAAAATTTGGAGAAGTTCCCTGGCTACCATTTGCATTGTCGGGGCGAAATAAGTGTGAAAGGCAAAGGCATAATGAAGACGTATTTCCTAGAGGGGCGAGAAGGGTTTGACAGGCCCCTGCCCGATGTGTGTGACGATCTGTCTGCTTCACCTACAAGTATACCTTCCACACCAGCAACGCCCATGTCTCCGCAGCCAAATCCGGATCTTGATATGAAGCAAACAACCGATGCATGTCTACCAATAAAAGATTTCGTAACAAAAATGTTGTCTGGCCCCAAAGGGGAAGGAGTAGTATCGCCTGATGAGTTCATAGCAAATATGCACTCTGATATTGACAATGATGTCGTTTCACCAGAAATGATTGTGACAAAAATGTTGTCAGATCTTGATAAACACTTGATATCTGCAGAGGAGTTCATGACAAATGTGTTGTCGACGTCAGAACGGACTAATGTCTCTCATGAGGGTGAAGACTATAAGTACACAGGAATCAGTGACAAAGACGAATTGTGCAAACATTCAGAGCCTGTTAAGAACTTCATCACTCAAACAACCCCAGATCCTGACAAAGACCGTGTGTCACAAGTGTCGTCCAATGAGGAGTACGACTCATTAAACACTACGTACTCTGTTGATAACCCCTATATCACACGTGACTTTCTCAGACACATGCTCGACGATCACAGAGATGAAGTTAAAAGAGAAACAAAGACAGTTGAGGAAAGCACGGCTTTATGACGTCGTATTTGTAGCTTATTGTTGTATTTGTTGTAATTCGCGTTGAACTATTTCATGTTCTCGGACATCATATATTGAATTGAAGAAATCATTGTCATTCAAATTTATGAATGTATTGTTTCTGAAAGGTTATTACTTTTTCATTGCCAACCAATTTGTTTAGAAATGGAATGGATCAGGAAAATGCATTCCTGCTACGTTTAATGAGTCGGTTTATTTATATATTATTATTTTGCATCGTGATGAAATGACTTAAATATTTGTCAAACATAATTATATGAAGTACAATCTAATGCATTCTCCCCTATCTTCACCAAGTTATTTGAGAAATGTTGCCTTCTAAACATGAAGAGGAAGGGCTGTTCATTTATTAGTGCTTATTAGTTGACATTGCCAGCCGTTTTATGTTTTAAACAAAGTCGGCATGTTTACATAATAACAGCTGCCTTTTGCGGAAACATAGTAAAAATCTGGGCAGTGTAATTACAGAGGGCAGTACTGTAGTCATGAGCAAAAACTAGTAGATATTTCTTGACAATAGAAACGTGTAGGTATACATGCGTTTCTCATGCTTAATAATAAAATTTGTAGAAACTATATTTGCAAGATTCATCGAGTCACTGCTCTGTAAAAAACGATATTCTTACCCAGATAGTTTCACTGACATTCTTGCTTGGTCCCTGGTGACGTTAGTGATGTGGGAGTTATTTCCTATGGTGAACAAGGTGTCGTATACCTGGCTGAGCCGGTAAGCCCCCTGGACCAGGTGACTCGATGCATCTTGCAAATTTACCTTACATTCCTGCTAAATGAACCTTATCAGTGATATGTGTAGAATCGTTTCAGATTATGATGTGTTTAATGGATACATTTTGACGCTAGTGTTGCGTTTATATATATATTAACTACATGAATAACATGTTTATTACTAACAACACGTCTTATTGTAATGCAGCCCTTTCTATGTGTCTATATTTCTCATGCTGAAAATGTGCCAAGAATCCAATTGACAAGAAAATGATTGATGTTACAAAATATCTTTCTTCTGTTAAAGATTAAGACTTTGTCGCTTTAATTTATCGACCGACCACGTAATAACGTCTGTACGATTAGATCGTACCTTTATGGTTTGTGATTTTTACAGCATCAATAGACACAGGTGTGTTGTAATATTCTGTGTTGCTCTATTCAAGTTATGCAATGTTATCATGCTGCTGATTTGTCCGATCCCCTTATCACGTGATTTGTTAAGAAAAGTGTTATGTTGATGAGCAAATGCCATGCTTTAATTAAACTATTTCATACATATATATTAAATGTTTTTTTTATAGATTGACAGACAAATAAATCGCATTTTTGCTTGACATTGTTACAGATGGTCGATGATAAGCTGTCAGACATTTTAAAAATTTGAAATATAAATAATTTAAATATTACATTCATGACCAATCAGGTACATGGATATCTATTACAAAATTCATTAACGAACCGTTATCGCATGTAGCATAGCTACATTTGTAATCTCGTGTCAAAGGTACGTTTATGTCTAAAACATGATAAATTCCAACATAACATAATGAATATTATTCCAAGAATTATACAAAAATATACTTTGCTATAAATATACGTCATAAAAATATCAAATTTCCATGTGAAGTAAGTCAGTATAGAAAAATAATATCTAACGACCGACTTAAAAAAACAAGCTGCTTTCACCACTCGCTGTGAAGGGAGAAAACAGATTGTTTTTCTAGTCGGTCGTTTGATCTTTTATTTTCTATATTTATGTACTAGTTCTCGCATATCTATTTTAGTTTAAATTATACCTTATTCAAGTAAATAGAACATATACATGTACATTTCATGATGGGAACAAATATCATATTGGGAAATGTGCATACTGAAGAACACTTCTGCGAATAAAAATAGGTAAATTGTTGAAAAAAGTACGTTGAAATCATTAATCCAGTTAAAGTGGTAGCAATAAATGTATGGTATGCTCATGGAAACTATGCTAATTTTGAGAAGCTAGTGTGTTTCATTGAATTTGCTTTTGTCCATTTGGCCTTCATACTGTCTATGAATGCCACCTGAATACAGTTCAATACTTAAATGACCTCCTTGTCGACACTGTCTTCAAATGACCTTAGGAATAGCAAGGACGTTGAACGCCGACCAAATAGCCTGTATCATCGATTTTAGACGCGAGACGTTACACCACTATTCAGGTTACAAACAAAACAAGACAAACAACCAAACAAAAGAAAAAAGGCGATAAATTTGTATTTACTTCGTGTAGTTAGCTTAAAGACATAAGCAGGCGTTTAAGTTTCATCATTGTCAATAAAAAAATGTTGTGGCATAACCCTACAAAGTACACCGTATGACAAAGCAACATTTTAAGAACCTGTCGAATGGGACCATCTAACAGTGACTTTCTTAGATAACATCTGAACTTTAACCTTATCTCAGGTCTGATCCAGGACAGCACAGCAATGGCGGTAGTTAAGTACTTGTTCGTTCTTTATTTGATTAATATTCCTAAGATGTCTGCTGAATTTGTTGGCCCCCCTCTGATGCAATTTGAAAAGAGTAAACAGTAAGTAATTGTCTTAATACAGCATTATATTTATGTTTGTGACAAACCGCTGGTCCCTATAGGACAGCCATCGATTAATGTAAAAACTTGTAAAATTGTGAACGTGAATATCCTCAAACTACAGTTCGGCCATTTCTTCCCTGTCTGAAAAACAACCAAAATTTAATATTTATCGATTAAATATATGGATGTCTATCAAACTGTGAAAGTTGCAATTTCTTCCCATCATTACAAAATGATGCTTCAAATATAGGTCATATTTTGCAATACACCTTGATCAATTGTGTCGGGCATCTTATCAGGATCAGGAACCCAACGCGTGTATTGCTTATCTTTGGGCGAGCGATGAATGCTTGTGTATTAGATTTGAAGCAACTGGCTTATTCTAAATCTAATAGTAACGTTCCTTATGGGTATGTTTGCACGAACGTTTGAGTGAACTATGCGTCACATTGATGCACTTTCTATATTTTTTTATTGTCATCTATGTTTAATGTACTTACGTACGCATTATTATACAAATGTATCATTTTGACGATTTTTATCAATTTTCTTGCTAATAATGAAAATGTAGTTGCAGTTCAGAGCTAAAATAACGCAAAAAACTTTTGTAGAAAGCCTTCATCTTAAATTACATGCGAATTGGTGTCCTCGCATTTAAGTAGAGAAAGGTCAATTAGCTATATCTTGTGTAAGCGAAACATGAGGTCTGCTGTATCTCGCTGCATATAAAAACAAGTAAAACACAAGGCATCACAAGTGATTCAAATCCCCTCGCATTTACATATTGAGTGACATATGAATGAGGAAACGAATAGAAAACTCAATGATGTATCAGTATCTGCTCTAGCGAATGCATTTTTCGATGGATAATATAGACTTTTATTCCGTTGAGGAATGAAGTCTATTGGGCGATGAAATTTCTTTAAAAATGTTTTAAAAGTGACCTTGACCTTTAACGCTGTAAACTGAAACACGACCCTGTTGAGGGCATTGTCATACTTAACACTTGTATTAATTTTCATGAAATTCCGTTCAGTAATGAAGTCGTTAGAGCGATGACAATGCTTCTTTTTTCTAAAAATAGTAACAGTGACCTTGACCTTCAACGTAGAAACCCGCAACGCAAACTTGTTCAAGGCATTGCCATGCCAAACACCCGTGTCAAGTTTCATGAAATTCCGTTGAGAAATGAAGTAGCTAGAGCGATGACAAATAGTGTAACATACGTGCATACGTATGGGCGGAATCCTATATCCCCTCGAACTTTCGTTGTAAGTGGATAATAATTAGACTCGAAGACTTCACATACTTTGTGAAAGACAAAATGGAAACGTAAGATACATCAAAGAGAGGGAACAACATACTGAACCTCGCAACAAAACTGAAGGCAAAACCATCCCTCCTGAAGATTAAGATTCTCTGCACCATATCAGTGGGATCCGCCAAATGGCACAGCGAGCGTGTGTTTAACGTTACCGTGCTGCAATCTGTCGGGAAAACTGCGGTTAAAATTGAAGTAATAAAATGTCATAAATGATATAACTATTTTGGTATGAACAGATTTAAAATTTTAATGTCTTGTATTTATGTCAAGTATAGGCGTGCGAAGCCTTTTTCCAGACTGCTTACCGCGTGCAGGGTTGAAGCCATGTTTACGTTATTATCATACATAAGCGAATCCACGAGATGTTGCAAGAGTAGAATCCAACGAATGGTGAATATGCGTTCGACAGAGTGAGGGGTAATGTTAACACAATAAACGTGCTTAAATCTTAATAGATAAAGATCTACAACGTCACTTGGATTGCAAACGACTTTATAATTCACTTCTGAAGTATCATTAACAGCTAAAAGATTGTAATGGGAGAGGAAGCAAGCCAAAATATCGTCATTTTAAAGGGAGACATTGGGGCCTGCATGACATTGTGTTAAATAATCGAATTCCTTACGGTACATGTACGTAAGAAAATAACATTTAATTCCTGTTTTATTGATATCTTTTATACGTTTCTCACCCTGAGTGTGGTATTAATAGACTGTTAATAACTTTTGCTATGTAAGTCAAATATGAAATGCCAGTCTTATCCTGCTTGTAAGAAGTAAAGGAGGTTTGATCAGGATATTCACATAAATCTCATACATAGCTGGAAATCAAGTCATCATAATTACTGTAAAGTTTCCTCAGTGAATGATGAACAGGCTTAGGCTTACGGAAGCATGGTGATATGTAATATGCATAAGCAGGATATATACATGTAGGTTTCTTACATGTACAAAAGTTATAACAGAGACACAGGTGCTTGTCGAATACTCATGTTGCTCAAGGGTAAAACAGTATCATATCTGAATATGAAGTTAAAGGATCGGAAACATTTTTCTACAGGATCAGATGTGGCTTTTGCAATAACTCTGTATGCATCAAGCTTCATAATATTACATCCAAATGAAACGGCTAAAAGTACCATGGTAAACTACGTAGTACCCGCTAAAATACCAAAAACTATTTGAAATATTCTTCCAACAAATTCAACAAAAGTGTTGTCGACCACAAATTAATCGTGCAGACATTTATCATACGGCATGAACTCAAATAGGCAACTGCATAACTAGACCAGTCTGAACACTTAGCGTCATGTATAAATTGTAACCTCTAAGCACGTATCCGAATGAATTGTTCTAAATAGACCAGTCTCTGCACATACAATACTAATCCTAATTCCAGGACATAACGTTGAATAGGCTGGTCTCTATAGACCACGAAACGCCATTATATTACTCTGCTACCAATCTGATTAAAACCAGATCTTTGATTCCACTCCCGATACTCTACGTTCCAGTGTTTGACTGGATCAAAGATCTGGTTTGAATCAGATTGCTCTGCTACATTCAGATGAAATTCATAATTTATAGTATGAATGTCATGCTCCGACTGTTGACGTCAACTGGGAGCAATTGAATGCTTAAATAGACCAATCTTAGTACAAAAATTAAAAGCTTGATTTACATTGATTTACTGTAACCAATTGTGTTCTGTTTCTCCGACGCAAAATGTGCGTAAAGCAAATATTGTTATGTGATATCCCTATATAATAACACATGTATGCCGTTATATATTTTGTAGCATGCAGTTGTGAATATAAAGGTTATAACCTTATAGCTAAAATAGTAAATGGTTATTTGTTGGCAAAAAAGTGTGTTTCAGAATCAAGTAATTGTTGTTTTAGACATGTGCACGTGCGATTATATGATTGCAAGAATGTGCCATGTGAATATTTTAATGCGCTGGTATACGTAGTTTTACAGTAAATGCAATATTCCTCAATACAAATGTTAACCATGTAGTGTAGCATCCCAATTCATTATTATTTTCAGATCCAATGATGTAGTTCTATCTAAATTGATGGACAAAATAGAAAATCAGGAGGCGAGACTGCAGGAGCTGGAGATGACAATAACTGAAAACAAGGACAGAGAAACGGAGAGAGACCGGCGAATAACACAGCTGGAAACGAGGGTGTCATTTTACGAGGAAACTATGGTTGAGGGAGATAAACGTTTAGCTTACCTACAAACAAAGTTGTCAGTTTATGAAGATGCTTTGATGGAAAGAGAACAACGCCTAGCCGAATTGGTGAAGCACAATGTTGCACGTGAAAATGACGCTGCCAGATCTCTAGAAGATAGCAATAAAACAATTACTCCTATTGCTAATACCCCAAAGGAAGACGTACGCATGACATATGATCCAAGCGCAATGAAACGCGGTTTGCGCAAGCACGGACTGGTGGCAAAGGAAACTGCAATACATACACATTTAGGTACAAAATGTATCTCCCAAGCTACAAGTTACATAATTGACACTATGAAAACATTACAGGTAGTAAGTCCTCCGTATTAGATATAAAATTACATTATAAGTATTATTAATAACATAACTTTCAAAATAATGCTTACACACATTAAAATGATAACTAATTTTATCCAATAGAAAGTAAATTTCAAAGGCATGTATTATTGTTTTTCTAGCCAGGGTGAGCCCAGCAGCGACACATGGGATAGCTTTCTGTGTTTCCGTTAATACGGCAACAGTGAACCTCCACGTGAATGAAGTTATCATATACGATAACGTCATGACAGACATTGGGAGCGGATACAACCAACATGATGGCATCTTTACTGTCCCAGAGAGCGGGATGTACGTGTTTACATGGAAAACGGTTTCCTATTTGCACAGTAATGTCGGCACTACAATCCAAATGAACGGTTCTGTGGAGGGAGCACTAGGTTCTTTCGGGAACTCAATCAGCAATTATCAGTCAGCCACGGGTGTTATAGTCAAGTCAGTGACCGCTGGTGACCACGTGTATATCAAGAGCAGTATGCAAGGAACTCTTGTGTCGAACAGTGAAGCTAGGTCAACTTTTTCAGGATGGAGACTGTTTTAATTTAAAAAACAAAATCTGGTGACCTAATGTTTGTATCAAATATCTACTATGGGCTTTGATGTTATGTGCGGATGCGGAAAAGGGTAAAATACAGCATAACAATTATTGCTCTTCACCTGATATTAAGGTCATTGGAGTGTATTGATAAACGGAAACAGGAAGTACATCCCTAGTTGAAAATCCAATGTAGGGAGACAGTATCACAATTTCCGCAAACCCTAATGTTTAATATTAAACTGATGAATAGTTTTTTTCAAAATCCACTCCTTTTTACATAAATTTCCATTTAAAATCCTTAAAAAAATTCTGACAACCTATATTGTTTTTGTGGCAGAAAATTTTCTTTACTTTAAAGCAATATAACTACAAAATTTGAAGAAATTCTACTGAGAAATGGTGACACAATCCTATTACCTTAAGTATATATTAGCTTTTTTAGAAACTGAAACACTTACCACTTTGACTCGGCCAATATCTAGAACATGATTGGGGCAATCACAAGAATAAGTGCTCCCTGACATTTTCAATGACCATGTGGGAAGCAAATCCAGATTGCAAAACTTCAATTGCATGTAAACTATGATCAAATTCGCAATTTGTCCTGGGTTATTGGTGAGAGCTGTGTTGACGCTTCAACTAGATGTCAGCATTCAAGACAAACATATACATGTATCCCTGCCTGTAGTAGAGATCATAATACAATGTTTTTGATTGGTTAAGCTGATTGTATTCAGTAATATTAGCTAGACGGCATGATTTTTACCTTTCCGAAACAATGGTACTCTTGCAGGTCGAAAAAACTTGTTTTCGGTCCATTCCTTTAACAAATTAACCCTGGTTGCTCAAAGGTTGTTGAACTAACCAGTGTTTACGGGAAAGTTCAAAATATGAATACAACCAAAACAAGAACATCTAATATCAGTTCACTGTTAAGGGTTGGTCGAGACAAATAAAGGTGACGTGTTTTAAGAAAATATTTTGCTTTGAAAGCCCTTGTTTTTTATTGGCAACAATTACGATTTTTCACTTACCACTGGTTCAAATTAACCAACCATTGAATAACCGGGGCCGGATCTACGATACCGGAGATAGTTTCTTTGGCCAGGTAATTAAGTCCATACCAATGACAAACTGAAGAAGACTAAATGTCCTTGACGGAATCTGCGCTATTTCCGAGGAGCTGGCATTTTCAAGGCACGATCTGGTTGGCCACAATTAATTGTGGTGTGTATCAGACGGGTTTCCTTTAACAGCATTCACGGAAATTGCTTCACGAAGAAGCTACTTAGTGTCCTCCCTTGTGTATGTCGCCTTCAAATTATTACTCTAAATCAGTTCCCGGAACCGAGTAATTAAATGGACTGACGTGCATCAACATTGGTTTGATGGTTCAAATTAACAAATGTCACAGGTGATGATGACCTCTGGTTATACGCTCGTCTTAAAAAGTGTTTCTGAAGCTATTCTGTTTAACTGGAAGTGGCCTGTATTCGCATTATGTATGTTGACAGATCATACGTTCGATAAGAGAGAACGTAAACAAGTATGATACACCATGTACATTGTATTTTCTTACTCAACGGAAATCATGTCATCGTGGACAATCCATTGTAGACGTAGGTTATATAGTTGAGATGTATGGTCTGATTTGACATAGTCCTTATTGTGTGGCAAAATTATAGATGAATAAGGTAATATATTTTGGGCCATGTTCATTAAAATGAAATGGTGAAAAACTATTACGTTTGTTTATTTGAGTGCCGAAATAAGAATCCGGAAATAATATCTTGAATGGACGTGTTTTATCAAGATTGCCGAGGTTCGATTTCCCGACCAAGAGAAAAGGTGTTTGCTCATCTGCGCGACCACTTGTTTTTTTCATGTACTCTGGTTTCCTCCCACATGGAAACCCCATCCAGCCCAAACAGACTGATTAATATGAAATGGGAAAAAATGTTTCATAATGACCGTTAACCTCATGATACTGTCAACACAAAATATGGGCATACGGGGAGCCCTGGATTCCAAAAGAATCAGTCGGGGTTGTTACGACTAAAACATGACTTACACAATGTAGCGTAGCCATTTGACGCCACATTGGAAATGTATAGGTCAATAGAAATCACTAGAGACAAGTTTCAAAAACAACATCTAAGTCGAGATTTACTACACTGAAGATACTATAAATGCTTGCATTGATTTCGGGACAAAACAAAGTATTGACCAGTATCAGCATTAGATTTGCGTTATTTGTGAACAGTACCTCGTTACAGTCATAAGGATTGATGCTGTAACTTATGGAAGGTCACTGTCCTTTGTATTCCTGTTGTTAGTTCGCAATCCTTGTATTACGAAAGTTGGTAATCCTAAGTTGTGTCTTATTGGTTTCGGATGTCATCTAACGCTTACCCTTCCGAAACACCTTGCCTTATTCTCCATGTACTGTTTCAAGGATTTCCATGTAAATATTTCCTTTGTTCAAATTCTGTCCTAGTTTTATTAATTTTGAATTTAAATTATGGTGTAATTGACACCTTGGTATTCACTTTTTTTTGTAACGAATACATTGTATCTAAATATTGGTAACTTCAAAGATGTAGCTCAGTGGTAGTTTTCCAAGCCTTTCAAAAATGGTTACAATTAACAAAAGCATTTCACGAAGACAGATACTAGATGTTATTATCATGACACAGCTACTATTAATGCCATATATATAAAGGGAGACGTGATGGCTGATGGATTGACGGACAACGCATCGTGACATAACATCACTTGGTCCCTCGGGCCAGGAGAATATAAAAACATCTTAGGTCATATACTAGCACTTTAAACTGCATTGTTATAACGGGACTAAATATACTGAAACAAATATAACTACGATACATCACAATGAAATGCTAACTTGAAGGTGCTCCAGGCTTTGTATTAATACTGGGAATTTACATTCATAGCTTTTATCAAAATGATTAATTGACCTTGACTCACAAATATATTACATGCATTGAAAATGTAGTATATGCATATTCTGTAATTGTAAGTATATATTGAAAAATACTCCTTTTCTGAATATCATCCTCCGGTGTGCAATACAAGTTTGATCCACTAGAAACTTTCATTTGTATTGATAGTTACGGGAAAACTCTTCTTCTGACTTCAGTCGTCATACCATGAGAGCCCTTTACGTGATCAAGCTTACAAGACAAACTGTTTCGATCCAGATTTCCTGAATTTTTAGAGGTCATTTGAAATATTTGACACAATGGACCTTTAACCTTGAACGTGGGTCGAGGTAATTTGTTGGAAAAGATAGAGACCAAATATCATTCGTGCTACAGCATCGTATAGTACTTCATTAGATGGTGTCTAAAAATGCTAGCACACTCCTGTGATCTTGAAAGTAAATTAATGCCAATTATCATAACTAACTTCACCGGTCCTAACCCATGTAGGCTACATGCCAAATATCCTTAACGTTGACCTAACTTGGTTAAAAGAAATTTTAATGGCTTATGAAAGGATGACGGATGCCACACCATAGTATAAGCTGATAGCCAAATTGTAGGAGATGAGCAATGAAATAGATAAATCATGCATTGATATTCTGTACTTATAACCAATCACCAATTTAACATCGCGGTCAGGTTTCAATCAGTTTTTTGTTTATCCATAATGCAATCGAATACACATAACACTACTCTTTGCACAAATTATACATTTTTGAAAACACAAAGACTATTTCTTAGTCAGTAAAAGATTTGAAATGCTGCATATATGTGGAGTCAACAGTCATGCATATATTTTATACAGTATGGCATCCACTTTGTAATCAAAAACTTCATACTCAAACTAAACCACACACACATAACTATCATTACCATACTCCACCCCTAGGCAAAATCTAGGTAGTGTTCTGACAAGTTTCATTTGAGCTCAAGATAGTTTTTGGCTTTAAATTGCATATCAAAATAGCATATTGGAATCTAACTCATATGCATCACTTTCAATCAGTTAAAACAAAGTATCTAATGTCATTTCAAAAATTACTTCCACCTGGAAAGCTAAAATATGTCAAAAATAAATACTTTTTACATGGAAAGCTTAAATATATCAACAAAAGCTAACCTCAATAAAAACAGTTTATGCAGCCGTAAACCGTTAGTACCACTACTGTACAGATTCGTGCAACTACATGTATACAAAAGTACCACCTCCAATTACCTGTTCTGTACAGCTATACAATAGCACCATCTACAATGACGAGTTCTGTACAGCTATACAATAGTACCATCTACAATGACCTGTTCTGTACAGCTATACAATAGTACCATCTCCAATAACCAGTTCTGTACTGCTATACAATAGTACCACCTCCAATGACAAGTTCTGTACAGTTATACAATAGTACCATCTACAATGACCAGTTCTGTACAGCTATACAAATATACCACCTCCAATGACCAGTTCTGTACAGCTATACAATAGCACCATCTTTAATGACCAGTTCTGTACAGCTATACAATAGTACCACCTCCAATGACCAGTTCTGTACAGCTATACAATAGTACCACCTCCAATGACCTGTTCTGTACAGCTATACAAATATACCACCTCCAATGGCCAGTTCTGTACAGTTATACAATAGCACCACCTACAATGACCAGTTCTGTACAGTTATACAATAGCACCACCTCCAATGACCAGTTCTGTACAGTTATACAATAGTACCACCTACAATGACCAGTTCTGTACAGCTATACAATAGTACCATCTACAATTACCAGTTCTGTACAGCTATACAATAGTACCACCTACAATGACCAGTTCTGTACAGTTATACAATAGTACCCCCTCCAATGCCCTGTTCTGTACAGCTATACAAATATAACACCTCCAATGGCCAGTTCTGTACAGTTATACAATAGCACCTCCTCCAATGACCAGTTCTGTACAGCTATACACTAGTACCACCTCCAATGACCAGTTCTGTACAGCTATACACTAGTACCACCTCCAATGACCAGTTCTGTACACCTTTACAATAGTACCACCTACAATGACCAGTTCTGTACAGCTATACAATAGTACCACCTCCAATGACCTGCTCTGTACAGCTATAGACAAGATGGTATTATCACAAGAGAAGTGAATTTGGAAAAATTAAGATAACTTGTTTTTAATAAAGGAGTTTTCTCTTGTTAATATTTCAAAAACAAATATAAAAACATTCTTTTCTTGCACAGCTTTATGACCAATATGTATAAGTTGTTCAACAATAAATTGACCATTAAATATCCTATCTGAATTAGTTGTTCACATTAACACCAAGGAGTTACAAAAATGTCAACATTGAATAGCTATACAGGTATTCTCTACCACTCAACAGTACAGAACTCATTCTGTTATCAAGAGTGTACTTAAATCTTAAACAAGCTTAGAATCTAACCTAACAAAACATTGCATATTGTCAAATACATAAAGCACTTCTTAAACAGTTTAACTGCATTCATTTTCTCTCTCCAAACACTAAGCAAAAACAGATTTTTCTAAAATCTTCGATTACATAAAAGATTTCACATTAAAAACATTATATAACTTGTTTCTGTAAAATATAAATGACACAATACACATGTACTTTTATACTTCCTGTTCATTTTTAAGTCTTCACTTGTACATCGTTTTTTTATTCATATAAACACACTAGTTTTTTAATTCCCCTAATTCAGAATTATACATTTATTTGTGTCATTTAATGTTTTGTAAACAGGCATTACCATTATTTATTACAAACTTTCACCAAATACACCTCATTAAAAACATTTTGCTGAGTTTATTCAGGAACATTTCAGATAATGACTCAGAATGTGAACATTAAACTTTGTTCACCGCTATTAGACATTAATTTCCCTTGTACAGGACCTTTGAATTATAGAGTAATAGGGAGGAATGTTTCCAATATCTGACCTGTTTGTCATTTCCTGCGACAACTTAACACTTTTGTAAAAACGGTGTTACAGCTACATGTAGCTTTAGTATGTTTTTAATAGTTTGAACAGTGTAGGTACACTCAGGCTTTTGTTTCAAAGTTTAACTTAGTGAATTACATGATGATTATTTACAAAAGTGAGTGTATTATATGCTGTTGTGTTTTTGATGTATAAACCTTGTTACAACATACAATGTAACTGCTGTAATTTGAAGTTACGGGCACTGAAATTACCAAGGAATAACCAATCAGAGAGTGCAGAGGTTAGCCAATGAGAAGGCAGTTTGTGTGAATATACAGTTTACATGGTATTTGAAGAGATAGGAGAGAATAACTACATAATAGTATAAATTTAGGATTTACACTACTTCTATTTCTGACAGAAAATTACCATTGGATTTAACTTGTGTACAGCTTAATATGGTCATTATACTTAAATTCTTATGGAGTTATTATATATTTGGAGTTTCATGAAATATTTGTGTCAAGGCTGAGTGTTCCATTGACAGAGGATTTCGTATGTGGCTTTCCGTAAGTGATAGCGAAAAGGAAACACTTCATGAGGTTTTTATACAGGGACAGCTTGGCAAGAGAAATAAAAAGAAATTTGTGTGCTGGGACAATTCTGCGAGAGTAACAAAATGAGGTACGTAGCTAGGCTGGGACAGCTACACGTAGCTGGGCTGGGACAGCTACACGTAGCTGGGCTGGGATAGCTACACGTAGCTGGGCTGGGATAACTACACGTAGCTAGGCTGGGATAGCTACACGTAGCTAGGCTGGGATAGCTACACGTAGCTAGGCTGGGACAGCTACACGTAACTAGGCTGGGACAGCTACACGTAGCTAGGCTGGGATAGCTACACGTAGCTAGGCTGGGATAGCTACACGTAGCTAAGAAACGAAATGGGGGTATGCTTGAACTCAGTAAGTGTAAAGAGGTTATTTGCTCAGACAACCTGGCGAGAAAAATGAATGAGATATGTGTGCTGAGATAACTCAGCGAAAGTCCATAATGTAATAAAATGATGGAGATATGTGTGCTGGCCCTGGACAACTCAGCAAAAAGTAATGGAAGGAGGCATGTGTACTGGGACAGCTCTCTCAGCAAGAGGAAGAAAATGATGTTTATTTAACAAATAACTTGAAAAGTTTCATAAACTATTTAGGAATCATAATCGATTAATGTTTTATCACAAGATGAGATACTTTGGTCAATCCACAGGCCAAAGATTGCACGTCAGTTAATATCAATAATTTTATTACATTAATACAATCGAATTTTCTCTCATCTCCTCAACATGAAATTTACTTGATAACCAGGGGGTTATTATACTGACAAAAATATCATTAGAGTTACCTGATTAAGGGATGGGGATGGTATTGATAAACATATCTTTGAAAAAGCAACAAATGACTGGCCATTCATGATTCATATATATTCAATAACAAACACCTCCCATTGTAAAATAAAAGATGCCACAGAAAAAAACACAGTTGCATCATTCTTATATATAAGTATATAATACTACATGTATATAATATTAAATACTGAATCACTCTTGCTCGATCAAGATTTTTTTTAAAAACCAAACTTAAAGACCATTTTACAAACCTTTAAACAGGCCTCTGATCCTGCCAAAATTCAGACAAAATAATTCTTTCAAAAAACATATTTTTTTCACTCTTCAAAGTTGACTACATTTCAAAACACTGGTTGTTAAAAAACTTTTGAACAAGTCATCTACTCAAATCTTCAATTAGATTTGTTTCTATTTCCTGAAATTGAAAGAAAATTTTGTATTTCTTGTCTTTATAAATTCAACTTGATTCTTTAGGCCATATTTTAAATTTTACTTGAGGTAAATGCAAATAATTTATTTTTTAAATCACACTTTAAAATCATAATTTTGCGCATAAAACATGTTATTAAAATAATGCTAAGAACAACCTTGTCCCGTAAAGGTTTCTATCCCGTAAAATTGGAACATGATGTTATTCAGCATTTTATTATGAAAGTTTACATAATAATCCTGCAATAATAAAGCCCAGGGATCGGAGGTACTACAGAGTGTGGGATCAAAACGTAGGGATGGGCTTATTGCAAAGCTATAGATTATACAATGTATTAGAAAATAAATTTAATGCCTTATTGACAGGCATGGGTTTATTGCCAAACAAAATATGGTAGTATCATACAATGTATGTGAAATCACATTTTTATGAAAATAAACATAAAATACTACCAATTCCATTTTTATTTCTGTGTTTCCTACATATCGAATTAACCTTTTTTTTCCAGAATGTAAATATCTTGTTCTAAAATTTTAGGAAGCTTCTGAAATTTGAGGATGACATAAAACTCCCAAAAAAATGACGTCATATTGTTTTAGCACCATAAGCCATTACGTGTCTGCACACATCCTTACATGTGTCCCCTGACATTTCACCTGTACATTTTATCATAGACTGGAAAGACTGTCTTTGGAATTCCGCTGGTTTTGATTAGATAGATCCATGTCCAGTCACATCACATTAAAATTCTACGCTGAAAGGGTAAAACTTGTGTTTGGTGGAACTGAAGAAGAAAAAATAATATTTATATTAGTTTATTAGTTGTTTGTGTTTTTTTTTTTATCTCAGCAACTAAATGAAAGATTATGTCACAATGGGTCAATACACACAGGAAATCGAGTTACGTATTGATATTATTCAATGTTTTTCTCTAACAAATATAACATATTGGATTTTCACTTTAGCACTACAAATCAAATCAATACTTAACACCTATCATGCTTTCATTTCTATTTTTCACATGCTACATATAATACTGGTATAATGTTTAAAAGTACATCACAATTAGTTCAATGTGAAGTCATTATACTCAATGAAAGTATATATCCAGCCTCATTTTGATGTAATGGTTTGGAAGACGACTCCTTGGTCCGAATGTTTGGTAAATTTGTTTTGATTTGTCACTAGCCGCATCGCATCAAAATGTCTAGTACGGCAGGGAAGTAGAAGGAGGGTATATGTCTACCACATCCAGGCTGTCCTGTTACCCTAGCCTATTCTATTGTGCTTTTTTTGTGTGTGTATTTTGGAAGTCTGTCTATAATCATCTCAATAAATCAATCTTACCTAACCTAACCCTATCCTCTGTGCTGTTGTTACTTCTTTTTGTACACCTTTATATACCCGGGGGTTGAAATATGAGTTATCTTCCTTATTAAAAGGAACTTTTTGCACTATTGAATAATTCAGTATTACTTTTTTATCATCAACAAATGCATTTTTTTGTACTTTTTAAATTTGTCAGGAATTCATTATTTATATATTCAAATTACCAAGCATTCAAAACATAGTTCACATGTTTCTCAATTTGTGTCAAAATCCTTTTTAAAAGGAAATATACATTGTACAAAAGGTACGTCAGAGCAAGGTTAAGTATGTATAAAAATCTTAGTTTGTGATTGACACTAACCTAGCTATCACACCATCGGTAACTGTTTTTATTCCGTCTATGGCAGGATTGATTTACCTGGTACATGTAAGCTGTATATATCATTCACTTGGCAGACTTAGATACTTACTCAATACCTACAGTATTTAGAATAATCTTCTTTACACTTTTTCTGAACATTTTTTTCAGGTTGGTAAGTATGGATAATGAGAAGTTTTTTTTACACAACCAATAACATTTTCTATGTGACGTTTCGCTGACTAGCTATATAGTATATGTACACTGATGAAGGTGACAGTGTTCATATCATACTAGTCATCGAAACGTCATATAGAAAATTTCATTGGTTGTGTAAAAAGTACTTCTTTACACTTATTCAATACTTACTGGGTCTCCAGGTTTAACCTGTGATTCTTATTAAATACTTACTGGGTCTCCAGGTTTAATCTGTGATTCTTGTTCAATACTTACTGGGTCTCCAGGTTTAATCTGTGATTCTTAATCAATACTTACTGGGTCCCCAGGTTTAATCTGTGATTCTTATTCAATACTTACTGGGTCTCCAGGTTTAATCTGTGATTCTTACTCAATACTTTCTGGGTCTCCAGGTTTAATCTGTGATTCTTATTCAATACTTACTGGGTCTCCAGGTTTAACCTGTGATTCTTANATAAATTACTTCACTGTGAGGAATATACACTTTATATTCCAATAAATTACTTCACTGTGAGGAATATACACTTTATATTCCAATAAATTACTTCACTGTGAGGAATATACACTTTATATTCCAATAAATTACTTCACTGTGAGGAATATACACTTTATATTCCAATAAATTACTTCACTGTGAGGAATATACACTTTATATTCCAATAAATTACTTCACTGTGAGGAATATACACTTTATATTCCAATAAATTACTTCACTGTGAGGAATATACACTTTATATTCCAATAAATTACTTCACTGTGAGGAATATACACTTTATATTCCAATAAATTACTTCACTGTGAGGAATATACACTTTATATTCCAATAAATTACTTCACTGTGAGGAATATACACTTTATATTCCAATAAATTACTTCACTGTGAGGAATATACACTTTATATTCCAATAAATTACTTCACTGTGAGGAATATACACTTTATATTCCAATAAATTACTTCACTGTGAGGAATATACACTTTATATTCCAATAAATTACTTCACTGTGAGGAATATACACTTTATATTCCAATAAATTACTTCACTGTGAGGAATATACACTTTATATTCCAATAAATTACTTCACTGTGAGGAATATACACTTTATATTCCAATAAATTACTTCACTGTGAGGAATATACACTTTATATTCCAATAAATTACTTCACTGTGAGGAATATACACTTTATATTCCAATAAATTACTTCACTGTGAGGAATATACACTTTATATTCCAATAAATTACTTCACTGTGAGGAATATACACTTTATATTCCAATAAATTACTTCACTGTGAGGAATATACACTTTATATTCCAATAAATTACTTCACTGTGAGGAATATACACTTTATATTCCAATAAATTACTTCACTGTGAGGAATATACACTTTATATTCCAATAAATTACTTCACTGTGAGGAATATACACTTTATATTCCAATAAATTACTTCACTGTGAGGAATATACACTTTATATTCCAATAAATTACTTCACTGTGAGGAATATACACTTTATATTCCAATAAATTACTTCACTGTGAGGAATATACACTTTATATTCCAATAAATTACTTCACTGTGAGGAATATACACTTTATATTCCAATAAATTACTTCACTGTGAGGAATATACACTTTATATTCCAATAAATTACTTCACTGTGAGGAATATACACTTTATATTCCAATAAATTACTTCACTGTGAGGAATATACACTTTATATTCCAATAAATTACTTCACTGTGAGGAATATACACTTTATATTCCAATAAATTACTTCACTGTGAGGAATATACACTTTATATTCCAATAAATTACTTCACTGTGAGGAATATACACTTTATATTCCAATAAATTACTTCACTGTGAGGAATATACACTTTATATTCCAATAAATTACTTCACTGTGAGGAATATACACTTTATATTCCAATAAATTACTTCACTGTGAGGAATATACACTTTATATTCCAATAAATTACTTCACTGTGAGGAATATACACTTTATATTCCAATAAATTACTTCACTGTGAGGAATATACACTTTATATTCCAATAAATTACTTCACTGTGAGGAATATACACTTTATATTCCAATAAATTACTTCACTGTGAGGAATATACACTTTATATTCCAATAAATTACTTCACTGTGAGGAATATACACTTTATATTCCAATAAATTACTTCACTGTGAGGAATATACACTTTATATTCCAATAAATTACTTCACTGTGAGGAATATACACTTTATATTCCAATAAATTACTTCACTGTGAGGAATATACACTTTATATTCCAATAAATTACTTCACTGTGAGGAATATACACTTTATATTCCAATAAATTACTTCACTGTGAGGAATATACACTTTATATTCCAATAAATTACTTCACTGTGAGGAATATACACTTTATATTCCAATAAATTACTTCACTGTGAGGAATATACACTTTATATTCCAATAAATTACTTCACTGTGAGGAATATACACTTTATATTCCAATAAATTACTTCACTGTGAGGAATATACACTTTATATTCCAATAAATTACTTCACTGTGAGGAATATACACTTTATATTCCAATAAATTACTTCACTGTGAGGAATATACACTTTATATTCCAATAAATTACTTCACTGTGAGGAATATACACTTTATATTCCAATAAATTACTTCACTGTGAGGAATATACACTTTATATTCCAATAAATTACTTCACTGTGAGGAATATACACTTTATATTCCAATAAATTACTTCACTGTGAGGAATATACACTTTATATTCCAATAAATTACTTCACTGTGAGGAATATACACTTTATATTCCAATAAATTACTTCACTGTGAGGAATATACACTTTATATTCCAATAAATTACTTCACTGTGAGGAATATACACTTTATATTCCAATAAATTACTTCACTGTGAGGAATATACACTTTATATTCCAATAAATTACTTCACTGTGAGGAATATACACTTTATATTCCAATAAATTACTTCACTGTGAGGAATATACACTTTATATTCCAATAAATTACTTCACTGTGAGGAATATACACTTTATATTCCAATAAATTACTTCACTGTGAGGAATATACACTTTATATTCCAATAAATTACTTCACTGTGAGGAATATACACTTTATATTCCAATAAATTACTTCACTGTGAGGAATATACACTTTATATTCCAATAAATTACTTCACTGTGAGGAATATACACTTTATATTCCAATAAATTACTTCACTGTGAGGAATATACACTTTATATTCCAATAAATTACTTCACTGTGAGGAATATACACTTTATATTCCAATAAATTACTTCACTGTGAGGAATATACACTTTATATTCCAATAAATTACTTCACTGTGAGGAATATACACTTTATATTCCAATAAATTACTTCACTGTGAGGAATATACACTTTATATTCCAATAAATTACTTCACTGTGAGGAATATACACTTTATATTCCAATAAATTACTTCACTGTGAGGAATATACACTTTATATTCCAATAAATTACTTCACTGTGAGGAATATACACTTTATATTCCAATAAATTACTTCACTGTGAGGAATATACACTTTATATTCCAATAAATTACTTCACTGTGAGGAATATACACTTTATATTCCAATAAATTACTTCACTGTGAGGAATATACACTTTATATTCCAATAAATTACTTCACTGTGAGGAATATACACTTTATATTCCAATAAATTACTTCACTGTGAGGAATATACACTTTATATTCCAATAAATTACTTCACTGTGAGGAATATACACTTTATATTCCAATAAATTACTTCACTGTGAGGAATATACACTTTATATTCCAATAAATTACTTCACTGTGAGGAATATACACTTTATATTCCAATAAATTACTTCACTGTGAGGAATATACACTTTATATTCCAATAAATTACTTCACTGTGAGGAATATACACTTTATATTCCAATAAATTACTTCACTGTGAGGAATATACACTTTATATTCCAATAAATTACTTCACTGTGAGGAATATACACTTTATATTCCAATAAATTACTTCACTGTGAGGAATATACACTTTATATTCCAATAAATTACTTCACTGTGAGGAATATACACTTTATATTCCAATAAATTACTTCACTGTGAGGAATATACACTTTATATTCCAATAAATTACTTCACTGTGAGGAATATACACTTTATATTCCAATAAATTACTTCACTGTGAGGAATATACACTTTATATTCCAATAAATTACTTCACTGTGAGGAATATACACTTTATATTCCAATAAATTACTTCACTGTGAGGAATATACACTTTATATTCCAATAAATTACTTCACTGTGAGGAATATACACTTTATATTCCAATAAATTACTTCACTGTGAGGAATATACACTTTATATTCCAATAAATTACTTCACTGTGAGGAATATACACTTTATATTCCAATAAATTACTTCACTGTGAGGAATATACACTTTATATTCCAATAAATTACTTCACTGTGAGGAATATACACTTTATATTCCAATAAATTACTTCACTGTGAGGAATATACACTTTATATTCCAATAAATTACTTCACTGTGAGGAATATACACTTTATATTCCAATAAATTACTTCACTGTGAGGAATATACACTTTATATTCCAATAAATTACTTCACTGTGAGGAATATACACTTTATATTCCAATAAATTACTTCACTGTGAGGAATATACACTTTATATTCCAATAAATTACTTCACTGTGAGGAATATACACTTTATATTCCAATAAATTACTTCACTGTGAGGAATATACACTTTATATTCCAATAAATTACTTCACTGTGAGGAATATACACTTTATATTCCAATAAATTACTTCACTGTGAGGAATATACACTTTATATTCCAATAAATTACTTCACTGTGAGGAATATACACTTTATATTCCAATAAATTACTTCACTGTGAGGAATATACACTTTATATTCCAATAAATTACTTCACTGTGAGGAATATACACTTTATATTCCAATAAATTACTTCACTGTGAGGAATATACACTTTATATTCCAATAAATTACTTCACTGTGAGGAATATACACTTTATATTCCAATAAATTACTTCACTGTGAGGAATATACACTTTATATTCCAATAAATTACTTCACTGTGAGGAATATACACTTTATATTCCAATAAATTACTTCACTGTGAGGAATATACACTTTATATTCCAATAAATTACTTCACTGTGAGGAATATACACTTTATATTCCAATAAATTACTTCACTGTGAGGAATATACACTTTATATTCCAATAAATTACTTCACTGTGAGGAATATACACTTTATATTCCAATAAATTACTTCACTGTGAGGAATATACACTTTATATTCCAATAAATTACTTCACTGTGAGGAATATACACTTTATATTCCAATAAATTACTTCACTGTGAGGAATATACACTTTATATTCCAATAAATTACTTCACTGTGAGGAATAGAAACATACTAAGTCGACTAGTTTTAAACTATCGTATAATTTCTAACTGCAAGATATGGAACTAATGTATGTGCATGTCTGCGTTGCCTAAAGTCTGCAATATTTCTGAAATCATATGGCACTATTATTTTTCTTCTTCTCCAACAAGATGTCAACTTGATTAGAATCAAACACTCATACGTAATGAACGCATTTAACAATTCAAATCATTGCCAACTAAAATCTATTACTATTTTTGGTGATCCTTGACTAGATTTGTAACATGATTTTCAGAAAATACTGAATTGATCAGAGTACATATTCTTGTGCAAAAACATTTTTTATTTACAGTTAACCATTTTTAAATTATAAGCAGGCATAGACCAACCCCCTATTTCCCTAACACCTACATGTTCCAAAGTAGTCAAGTGGAGTGTGTCATCAGACCACCAGATCTAATTATATCATAGTGTAATTTGAAAAGAATCTGAGGAGTTCATGAGATATCTTCACAATGCACACACACTTTTTACTAGGACGCACAGACAAAAGCACAAAATGATGGACAAACTGAAAAAGAACAATATATGAGTGCGATAAATGTGTAACACAGGAAGTGATATTTAAAGGAAATGAAAAGCACATGTAGAAAGTGTTAAATGTACAGGAAGTGAGGAGTAAAAGAAGTGAGAAATACAGGAAGGGAGGTGTACAGGAAGTGAGGAGTACAGGAAGTGAGGAGTACAGGACGAGAGGAATACAGGAAGTGAGGAGTACAGGACGAGAGGAATACAGGAAGTGAGGAGTACAGGAAGTGAGGAGTACAGGAAGTGAGGAATACAGGAAGTGAGGAGTACAGGAAGTGAGGAATACAGGAAGTGAGGAGTATAGGAAGTGAGGAGTACAGGACGAGAGGAAAACAGGAAGTGAGGAGTACAGGACAAGAGGAATACAGGAAGTGAGGAGTACAGGAAGAGAGGAATACAGGAAGTGAGGAGTACAGGACGAGGTGAGTACAGGAAATGAGGAGTACAGGAAGTGAGGAATACAGGAAGTGAAGGGAAAACTCAGGAAGTGAGGAGTACTGAAAGTGATATTTACAGGAAATGAAAAGCACATGTAGAAAGTGTTAAATGTACAGGAAGTGAGTAGTACAGGACGAGAGGAGTACAGGAAGTGAGTAGTACAGGAAGTGAGGATTACACTCAGGAAGTGAGGAGTACAGGAAGTGAGGAGTGCAGGAAGTGAGGAGTACACTCAAGAAGTGAGGAGTTTGTACAAAGAGAGAAAAATAGAGGAAGTGAGGAGTACAGGAAGTAAGGAGTACAGGACAAGAGGAGTACAGAAAGAGATATATGTGCAACAAATGATCTGCACAGAACACAAAATAAATTAAATTTAAGAAGAAAGAATATGTGGTAAACATGCATAAAATCTTTGATGAACATAAAAGGGTATCTTCCTTTTCTTGTATTTTACTGTTAATCTCTTATCCTGTCACACTGAGCAGGGCAGTCAATGAAACAAGAAAAAAGATTAACAGTAAAATAATAAAAAAAGGAAGATAATTTACACAGGATATCTGTAAAATAAAGTGAAAATAATGGAAAAATAACGATTGTGTGGGTTTTTACAAGAATTGTGTTTACCTGAAAATTCTCAGTGACCCTGGAAGGGGTGACACTTTTAGGGATAACACAGATTTTCTTTTGAAGCAAGAAACGAAGAATGACCTGAAATTGAACATTCAATACAGAAAAATGTAATATTTTTGGTTACGCCATGATATTCTGATACATGGTATTTTTTATTCTTAATTCTTTCTTTAACCAGTAAATATCTCTGTAAAAAACTCTCTTCCACATTAATAAGAAAAATATTGATTGATTTTTTATTTGAGTATTCAACCAAAAGCTTGCATTTCATAAAACTATTTAAACAAGAGATCCAAGAGGGATCTTAGCAACCCTCATCATCAGGTCTGTATTATTGCTACTGTATGTAAGTTTGATCTTTTCCCTTCATTTCTCTCTTTTCAATCAGCGTACAATCTGACAATGGTGGGCTTAAAACATACGTTTCAACATCTTATCAAGTCGAACATTTTACTTCATGTAATATTGGATATGGTACATAGTATAAGCATACCTGTGCTGGCGTTTTTCCTTTTTTCTGTGCTATTTCCAGAACTGTTGGTTCTTGTAGAGGTGGGGTGAAGTGAACACTACAATGATAACATGTAGGGTGAACACAGACACACTGTTTGCTTATCCACATTCAATACAAAGTTATTATCATTATTAATATTAATAGTTATCATGCGTTATGTAGTAACATGTGCATTCATCAAAATTACATACTTTTTAGAAAAAAATCTAGCACCTGACCCAAAGGGTCTATAATTAGTCTCTATATAACAAATGGTGCTATTTGTTTTCCCTGAACTAATTTAGAAAAAATGCTTTTTCTCTATTTTAGTAAATAATTTCTTTTTTTATATGTTCTTTTACCATAATAATTTTACATTCATTTTATTTCTTGATCTATTCGCTCAGTTTTCACTTTTGCTTTTAATTCTGTTTCTAATTTGCAGTCACAAAAAATTGTTTTCTTACATTATTCACAAGCTATCTTTGTACTGCCCTCTGACCTTTACTTAATTTTCTACAGCACAAAAACCTTTTTTTTTACATCTCAATTATCCTCACTTGTTTTTCTATTGACCCATTTTGTGAAATACCCAAATCCATGACCAGCTTTTCTATTACCCAAATCCATGACCAGCTTTTCTATTAGCCAAATCCATGACCAGCTTTTCTATTACTCTAAGGTGTTTCTCTGCCTTTCATCTATTCCGTTTTGTTTCTATACTTTATATTCACCCATATTTTGCTCCGTCAGCTTAATTTGTTTTCCGATGATTCTATTCCTCCATGGTTTTTGGGTTTTTTTCGGTACCCAGTTTTGTTTCTCCATTTCTCCTTTGACATGCATGGTATTAATTAAGTTGGAATAAGTTGTTGCATATTTATATATGTATTCTATACCAAAATACTGATGTATTAACTAACTAACAGTTTGTTTCAGAATTTCTACCAATTTAATTTCATTCATTTTTTATAAAGTTTACTTCCTACTTAGTTCTCAAATTAAAGGAAGATTTAAATTAATGCTAAATCACAATCAACAAGCTAAGGCAAAGAGTTATCATTCTAAATAACAGCTCATGACCTTAGCTCACCAGGTTCTTACTGGTCTCCGATATATCATTTAAAATTTATAAATTTAATACACAAAATTAGAGATGCTAAAATTCAAATAATCAAGTACAGCTAGTGATGAATAAACATGTGTATGTTCATTTTATTGCACGTTTAACAGCTGAAAATTTGTCAACTTATTCTACAGGGGAAGTTTTCTTTTTTAAGAATATTCACCTTCTTTCTTGACTAACTGCTTTACTCATTCACCCCTGAAATTTCATAATGAACTATTCAAACCTTTGAATTGGAAGAGTTCAAATGTGTCTTCATGGGTGAATGCGTTAAAGGTGGAGGTATACTTACTATTTAATTATTTGGATTAATAGGGGTACTTTAAACTATTTCTTGCTGAAATCTGTCCTCGTGTGATTAAGGATCAGGGTCCACTTGTATGAAACATCCCAACTCTGGAGATTTCCTCAAGTCTAAGATTTCCCATAGGCAATACATTGCTTGAGATTTTCCTTAACTTTGAGATGTTTTATACAGGTGGGCCCAGGTGTTTAGATATTTACACTTCTGCTAAATACAAACCCCTTTAGACTTGGGATGAGAAATCTAGCTCTACTGAGAAAATCTAATTAAGATACATTAGGTAATTTAAGCACAAGGATACAGGGGGAATGAATGTGTCTGCTCTGTACACTGTACCGATAAGCAGGGAGGGGCGGGGGAGGGATTGTCAAGCTGGTGTGTCTACTATTGAGTGCTTCAGGTGTTTTTGTACACTGTACAAGGTACATACCTTTGGTAGGCACTGAAAGAGTCAACTCATAAATTAACAGGCTATATGATATCAATAAACAATAGCAGACAGGCTCATCAGTAAATAGAACAAGGTATTTCAAACGATGCTGATACCCTTATATTTAGAAGAGACCAGAAAAGCAGAAAATAAAAAGGGTATATGGATAAACTTAGGGTTGATGATGTCAAATAATCTATTCATAATAACCAAGAGCTTAGAAATTTCAAAATATGAACTCACACAAATGGTGATGTTTGTGAACATGCATTTTATGTTTCGTGACAATTGAATAACAGATGTAGTCTGTAAATTAAGCCATGACGGCAACACCTACTCTTATAGTAATGGTGACCTTGTTTTTCACCCCAGAAGGTCAAACACAAATTTGTGATCAGTTTTAGAATTTAGAATCAACATTCTATACAAAGACAATTGGTTTATATGATATAGATTTCTTATAGACCTCCTAAATATTTTGTTAATCTAAACCTTGACCAAGAAAAAGTCAGTTATATACGCTGTGCTTAATGACATATGAAATTGAAAAATATGAGTAACTGACAGGATTACATTTCCTTAATCCCCTTAGCCTCACCGTTAAGGTAAATTCCTGTAAATAATTACTGTAAAAGTTGTTTGTTCATGTTTGGAATTATCATTTCTTCAAAAAATTGAAAATGCTGAGTCAATATGATTTTTTTCTAGATCTGAAATCAGAAAGACTGATTAAACACGATTTAATGAGTAAATATTTCCATCTCAGATACAAAATTAAAACTGTGCACCAATGGAAAACTGGAAGAGTTTCATAAATATTGGCACAAAAGATAAGTAGTAGTTTCACTTCAGATAAAATATGTGAATGAAATTCATTAAGGGGGCATAACTCCTATTGCAGCAGTCAAAATAAAAATAAATCACAACCCCACAAGTACCAAGAGTATAGATCATGTGTACTTTTCACAAATATGGTTAAAGATGGAAAGTAGCTGTACTTCAGCTAAAAGGTTATAAAAGAATATCACAAAAGGGATAAATTCCCACAAAATCAACCAAATCAAAAGCAAATCTCAAGAACACAATTTCCTAAAGTAATGTTCATGTGTAATGAGTTGCATAAAAATAGGTTGAGAAGACATACGGCGGGCCACAAGAACAGAGGGACTCCCTGGTTCCAGTACTACACCCCTAAATGTGCTGCAGGGAAACATGGAAACAAACAAATTACAATATCACATGATCAGATGATAGAGGATCAGACAACTGGAATATTAATAATATACATTTCATAACTGAAATGGAATGCAAGAGGCTTGTGACAACATGCTTAGACCATAGAAATGCCCTTATGCATGGTGTTAATAAAAACGTGGTTCACAAACTTCAGAAAGTACCAAATTCTGCAGCACGGCTAGTAGCTCACACCAAATAGAATGATTATACAAATGTATTACTTTAGTTTGAGAACACTACATAGGCTTCCTGTTGAATACTGTAGTCAATATGTAAATTCTTGTATATACTTTCAAATCCCTTAATGGTCTGGCCCCATGTTACCTTCAGAAATGGATAAGGATTTATAGGCCATGTAGATCTCTATGCTCGGAAACAGAGACATTATATATGTTCCACGAACATGTACTATCATCTACGGTGAGAGACACTGTCACAAATCAGCTGCTTCATTGTGGAACAGCCTTCTGGTAAAACTGAGACATTATATATGTTCCACGAACATGTACTATCATCTACGAGAGAGACACTTCCACAAATCATCTGCTTCATTGTGGAACAGCCTTCTGGTAAAACTGAGACATTATATATGTTCCACAAACATGTACAATCATCTACGGAGCGAGACGCTTTCACAAATCAGCTGCTTCATTTTGGAACAGCCTACTGGTAGAACTGAGACATTATATATGTTCCGCAAACATGTACAATCATCTACGGAGAGAGACGCTTTCACAAATCAGCTGCTTCATTGTGGAACAGCATTCTGGTAGAACTGAGACATTATATATGTTCCACGAACATGTACTATCATCTACGGAGAGAGACGCTTTCACAAATCAGCTGCTTCATTGTGGAACAGCCTACTGGTAGAACTGAGACATTATATATGTTCCACGAACACACACTATCATCTACGTAGAGAGATGCTTTCACAAATCAGCTGCTTCATTGTGGAACAACCTTCTGGTAGAACTGAGACATTCAAATCCTCTTGAACTTTCAAGTAAAATCTGAAAACACACCAGTTTAGTTTTTGCTTCTTGCTTATTCTGCAAGGTTACTTTACCAGTCAGATCACTAACATGTGTGAATGAGTTTTCTTGGGTTTCCAGGAGTTCCTCACTGTGAAATAGATACAACATTTCCAGAGAAGATACAGTGCAGGAACTGTATATTCTTTAACCTCGGGCTAATTTATAAGCATCCTATATTAATTGTTTAAGTATTTTATATTAACTGTACATGTATATGGATTTTACATTAATTGTATCAGTATTTTATATTAACTGTATATTAAGTATTTTATCTTAATTGACCATGTTTATTTTATATCAATTGTATGTGTATTTTATATTAATTGTATTTTATATTAACTGTATTTCATATTAACTGTATAATTATTTTATATCAATTGTATGTGTATTTTATACTAATTGTCAATTAATTGTACATGTATTTTATATTAATCGTATAAGTATTTTTGTGAAGGTATGTTACATTAATTGTATATGTATTTTACATTAATTGTTTATACATTTTATTTTAATTGTATTAAAGTATTTAATATCAATTGTATATATGTATTTTACATTAATTGTATATGTATTTTATATTAATAGTTTATGTATGTTACATTAATTGTTTANGTTATGCCATGGACAAGGGGAGACATAAATGTTGAACTTTGACCTCTAAGGAAGGCATCAGTTAAGTTTGCAGGGTTTTTTGAATTGAACAAATCTGAATCTACACATTTACACCATGGCATATATGAAAGAATGAAACATATGTCATTAACCAAACTTTAAAAGTAGAACTTTTACTCAGTAGAGTGTGAAACTTTACCTGATTGTTACCCGCACTGTACTACTCTATATTCAGTAGAGTGTGTCACTTTACCCGATTGTTACCCGCACTGTACTACTCAGTAGAGTGTGAAACTTTACCTGATTGTTACCCGCACTGTATTTCTAGTACGCAGTAGAGTGTGTAACTTTACCCGATTGTTGCCCGCACTGTACTACTCAGTAGAGTGTGAAACTTTACCTGATTGTTACCCGCACTGTATTTCTAGTACTCGGGAGAGAGTGTAACTTTACCCGATTGTTACCCGCACTGGATTTCTAGTACTCAGTAGAGTGTGTCACTTTACCCGATTGTTCCCCGCACTGTACTACTCAGTAGAGTGTGCAACTTTACCCGATTGTTAACCGCACTGTACTACTTAGTAGAGTGTGTAACTTTACCTGATTGTTACCCGCACTGTACTACTCAGTAGAGTGTGTAACTTTACCTGATTGTTACCCATACTGTACTACTCAGTAGAGTGTGTCACTTTACCCGATTGTTACCGGCACTGTACTAATCAGTAGAGTGTGTAACTTTACCCGATTGTTAACCGCACTGTACTACTCAGTAGAGTGTGTAACTTTACCTGATTGTTACCCACACTGTACTACTCAGTAGAGTGTGTAACTAGACCCGATTGTTACCCGCACTGTACTACTCAGTAGAGTGTGCAACTTTACCCGATTGTTACCTGCACTGTACTACTCAGTAGAGTGTGTAACTATACCTGATTGTTACCCGCACTGTACTACTCAGTAGAGTGTGTAACTTTACCCGATTGTTACCCGCACTGTACTACTCAGTAGAGTGTGTCACTTTACCCGATTGTAACCCGCACTGTACTACTCAGTAGAGTGTGTAACTTTACCTGATTGTTACCCGCACTGTACTTCTAGTACTCAGTAGAGTGTGTAACTTTACCCGATTGTTACCCGCACTGTACTTCTAGTACTCAGTAGAGAGTTTAACTTTACCTGATTGTTACTGGGACGTATGCGAGCAATTTCCATTATCTGTGATATCTGTTGACTGTTAAAGTTTGATAAACCAATGTCTCTGACAAGACCCTCATCCACGCAATCCTCCAGGGCCTGTCAATCAATCAAATTATACATATCAAATTATTACACTGTCAATCAATCAAGTTATACTTCCCAAAATATACAAATAAGTCAACCAGTCAAATAATGCATCTCAATACACAATTAGGTCAACCAATCAAACATCAAGTAACAAAGAAATAAAAACCATGCAATATCTTCAACCTGGAATTTACTAATCATTCATAGTCCACTTGACTCAATGTAAATCTACAGACAACTAGGATTTGAATAAATGTAGTGGAACTTTAGAGGGTCGATCATCAGTGACCAGGGTAGCTCAATTGGTAGAGCATCCGTCTTAAAGAGTTTGCAGAGTCCCCGTTTCGAACCCTTCTCTAACCATGCATTTTTACATCTCTTGTTTCAGTTATATAAATAATGAAAAGAACTTAAATTTACATAAAGATCAATCAAAAATAAAATTATTCCAAAATAAGACTATTGTAATGATTGAAAATAAATGCTAACAGCTCTAGCTTACCTTCCAGGTCTCGACAAAATCAACTTCTGAGAATAACACTGTGCCATCTTCATCCTTAGGCAGAAACTCACCACCTTCCTGGAATATCCGATCATAAATAATTTCATATAACATTCCAAGTTTGAATTGTATACGAGGTAATATACCAAATAAATCCCATTACACCTAGCTTTTTTTTTTTAATTCAGTTATCATGCTTGCATCCTTTCTCTCATTCTTCCTGCATGTTCACAAAATGCTAACCTCAAAAAGGCACAGGGCCTGTATAGCCCACTTATTTTTGTTACTGAACTATAAAAATAGCTTAAATGTTTTCACTAAACTATAAACAATTTTGGCCATCTCAGAGTTGTTACTTATCAAACAAAACTTGGTTAGTGCAAAGACAGGAACATTTGTACAACTTCTGATTAAAATTGATCTGATGAAATTAAAAATTGTATTACAATGTTGCAGTATCATTGTCCCTGTGATCAAATTTGCTAGAAATCAAGCAAATCCCTTGATCCATGCTGAAGAGGTATTCTTTCAAATATTTTTTCTCATTCCATATTGCGCCCAAGCTACTCCACCCCCAGAGGGACAACAAATTTATTTTTATACCAGTCCCTGTGGCCAAGTGATACATCAGCTGGTCAATTAAATTCCTTTTAAATGTCCTGTGTATATTTGACCTTACAGCTTCATTTAAACAACAATGAGTTCTCTTGGCCTTATGAAGTTTTAGACCAAGCTTTTTTAAAATCTCTTCATCCCCATTTGAGCCCCATCCCTCTGCTACCATGGGGTCACTTGTTTTGATAAACAATCCAATTAAGTTGGAGGAACAGTAGTCTAGTGGTAGGACACCAGGCTCGTTATGCGGGTTTGAGTCATGGCATGGCACTGTGTGTTACTCTGCTTGTTCCAGTCTACTCGGCTGTAAATAAGTACGCAGTTGGGCAGTGCTACATGTAGCTGTGAGCGTCGAAATGGCAGCACCGCCTGTATACTCCCCAGGGAGTTGAGAAAGGTATTGGATGGTTGCAAAGGCTCTATAACCATGGATAATAATTTGTGAACCGTTTTGAGACAACCTACAAACTAAGTTGTGATAAAGCGGTATATAAGAACCTCGAACTACAAGTATTATCATTATTATTAAATTGATTTTATCCACTATTTCACAGGCTGATCAAGGCATATTATTACATTAAAAAGAATCTAAAATAAGGATTCATGAAGTAGTAGAAACATATACACACACAGCTGTTTTTTGTACTAAATACTTTGATTTTTATAACATGCAAAAATTGAATGAGAAATATATTGATAAATCTATCAAAAATAAGCAGTCATTAATTACCTGTAATCCCATTGGCCAGTGAATAAGGTAAAGGTCCAAATAGGTCAGGCCAAGGTCATATAGACTCTTCTTCAGACTAGAGAGCACAAGGTCAGGTCTGTGACAGGTATTCCATAACTATGAAAGATAAACAACATATCTGCATCCAATACACATTCTATCTACTTAAACATTTCTTATTACTGATTATTTTCATAATTCCATGCTGCTGCCAATATAACTACAAAGGAAATTATATGTAGAACGATTTTGTACCATAGAAGATTATTTCTTTTCAATCTTAATGAAGATAATTGTAATTTGCTGCATGCTTTAATTTACTAATTCATTCAAGGGTTAGTTGTTATCCCTCTGATGTCATGTGCAGAACTCCCTGATAATACCCACAAATCTCCCTATAGTACCCACAAATCTCCCTGATAGTACCCACAAATCTCCCTTATAATACCACTCCCTTATAATACCAACAAATCTCCCTTATAATACCCACAAATCTCCCTTATAATACCCACAAATCTCCCTATAATACCCACAAATCTCCCTATATTGGTTCCAACGTAGAGGCTAAAGAATAAAACGAGATAATACTAAGTTATATATATTTTTTTATTTCTATTTTAAAAGTCTAACTAATTTCTGACTTATTCACAGAAATATCTCACTACTTACTTCAAAATCCACTAAAAGTTTCAACTGATCTCACTACAGTTTGTATTATTCTAAACACATAATTCACTTCCCACCTCTGAGTTCTCTGATTGCAATTCAACTTGGAGATTATATGTGTACATGAAATACAGTATCCACTTGGCCGAACATTAACCTTGCTAGTGACAAATATATCTTCTCTTGTGATTGTGTCCTCAATGATCAGCTCCTTGATGGCGTGACCCACCGCACGTTCATTCCTGTAGATGGCAGCACAGTCAAGGTGGCGGTACCCAGCACGAACTCCCACTTTAACAGCTTTTATTACTTCATCCTCTCCCTGTACAAACAATGAATAAAACCATCAGAAAGTTTCTTTTTAATAAAACATCTGTTAAGAATACAAACCCAGAGAGCTGTTGCAATGGATACCGTAAAGTGGAAAATTTGAAAATAGTGATGAACTGAATTGATACAGTAATTCTATTGAAAAAGTATTGATAATGATACAATATTAATAAATAACAGGTGATTCAACACTCCTTATATATAACTATGTGAGTAGTGTCCTATAAATAGGGGTGGGTTCAATAGAGCTCCTTACTAATAAAATGTAATAGAGGAATAAAGGAATTAAGTTTAATACTTTAAATACAACCAGCATTGTGTTTTTATTGATACAATATACTGATACAGCAATTCAATTGCAGCTCTGCATTTTGTACCACAGCAAACCTTTTCACACTAACAAAAGTTTGAGGGTACAAGTGTGAAAATATCCTCTTTTACATCTACCTGTGTTTTACACCTGTAATTTAATGCGCTAAAGGGATTGATGTTCCTTTTCTGTTAATCGGTCACAAAAGGTTTATTTATACTTTTGCTGACCACTGTGACCCAATGTCAGGGAGAAATGTTTAACATGTCTTTAGTCATCCATGCCAGTAGAGCAAGGTTATGGAGATAAAATAACATGTGGCTATTATGGTAAGTATAACCTGCATCCCTTATAGAGGACTAAACATAACTGAATAGTGGAGCACTTCTGTATGCCTGCTCCCTATCACACCTATCACACCTGCTCCCTATCACACCTGCTCCCTATCACACCTGCTTCCTATCATACCTGCTTCCTATCACACCTGCTCCCTATCACACCTGCTTCCTATCACACCTGCTTCCTATCACACCTATCACACCTGCTCCCTATCACACCTGCTTCCTATCACACCTGCTCCCTATCACACCTGCTTCCTATCACACCTGCTTCCTAACACACCTGCTCCCTATCACACCTGCTCCCTATCACACCTGCTCTGTATCACACCTGCTTCCTATCATACCTATCACACCTGCTCCCTATTACGCCTGCTCCGTATCACACCTGCTCCATATCACCCTTTAACACATGCTCCCATCACACCTGCTCTGTATTATATCTGCTCCCTATCACACCTGCATATCACCCTATAACACATGCTCCCCATCACACCTGTTCTGTATCACATCCGCTCCCTATCACACCTATCACACCTGCTCCCTCCCTATCACTTATGCTCCCTATCAAACCTGTTCCGTATCACACATATCACACCTGCTCTGTATCACACCTGCTCCCTATCACACATGTTCTGTATCACACCTACTTCCTATCACACCTGCTCCGTATCACACCTGCTCCCTATCACACATATTCTGTATCACACCTACTTCCTATCACACCTGCTCCCTATCACACCCGCTCCGTATCATACCTACTCCCTATTAAACCTGTTCCGTATCACACCTATCACACCTGCTCTGTATCACACCTACTCCATATCACCCTATAACACATGCCCCCCATCACACCTGCTCTGTATCACATCCGCTCCCTATCACTCCTATCACACCTGCTCCCTCCCTATCACCCCTGCTCCCTATCACACCTGCTCCGTATCACACCTACTCCATATCACCCTATAACCCATGGTCCCTATCACACCTGCTCCCTATCAAACCTGTTCCGTATCACTCATATCACACCTGCTCTGTATCACACCTGCTCCATATCACACCTCCATATCACCCTATAACACATGGTCCCTATCACCCCTGCTCCCTATCACACCTGCTCCGTATCGCACCTACTCCCTATCACCCTATAACACATGCTCCCCATCACCCCTGCTCTGTATCACACCTGCTCCCTATCACACCTGCTCCCTATCACACCTGCTCCGTATCACACCTACTCCATATCACCCTATAACACATGGTCCCTATCACACCTGCTCCCTATCACACCTGCTCCGTATCATACCTACTCCCTATCAAACCTGTTCCGTATCACACCTATCACACCTGCGCCGTATCACACCTACTCCATATCACCCTATAACCCATGGTCCCTATCACACCTGCTCCCTAACACACCTGCTCCGTATCATACCTTCTCCCTATCAAACCTGTTCCGTATCACCCCTATCACACCTGCTTCCTATCATACCTATCACACCTGCTCCCTATCACACCTGCTCCGTATCACACCTACCCCTTATCACCCTATAACACATGCTCCCATCACACCTGCTCTGTATTATATCTGCTCCCTATCACACCTGCATATCACCCTATAACACATGCTCCCCATCACACCTGCTCTGTATCACATCCGCTCCCTATCACACCTATCACACCTGCTCCCTCCCTATCACTTATGCTCCCTATCAAACCTGTTCCGTATCACACCTATCACACCTGCTCTGTATCACACCTGCTCCCTATCACACATGTTCTGTATCACACCTATCACACCTGCTCCCTATCACACCTGCTCCGTATCACATCTATCACACCTGCCCCTTATCACAACTGCTCCGTATCACATCTATCACACCTGCTTCTTATCACAACTGCTCCGTATCACATCTATCACACCTGCTCCGTATCACACCTATCACACCTGCTCCCTATCAAACCTGTTCCGTATCACACCTAGCACACCTGCTCCGTATCACTCACACCTGCTCCCTATCACACCTGTTCTGTATCACACCTACTTCCTATCAGTATCACACCTGCTATCACACATGTTCTGTATCACACCTATCCCACCTGCCCCCTATCACACCTACTTCATATCACACCTGCTCCCTATCCCCCCTGCTCCCTATCACACCTGCTCCCTACCACACCTGCTTCCTATCATACCTATCACCCCTGCTCCCTATCACACCTGCTTCCTATCACACCTATCACCCCTGCTCCCTATCACACCTGCTCCGTATCGCACCTACTCCATATCACCCTATGACCCCTATCACACCTGCTCCCTATCACACCTACTTCATATAACACCTGCTCCCTATCACACCTGCTCCCTATCCCACCTGCTCCGTATCACACCTACTCCATATCAGCTTCCTATCATACCTATCACACCTACTTCCTATCACACCTGCTCCCTATCACCCCTATCACACCTGCTCCCTATCACACCTGCTCCCTACCACACCTGCTTCCTATCATACCTATCCCACCTGCTCCCTATCACACCTGCTCTGTATCACACCTGCTCCCTATCACACCTATCCCACCTGCTCCCTATCACACATGTTCTATATCACACCTATCACACCTGCTCCCTATCAAACCTGTTCCGTATCACACCTATCACACCTGCTCTGTATCACTCCTGCTCCCTATCACACATGTTCTGTATCCCCTATCACACCTATCACACCTGCTCCGTATCACACCTACTCCCTATCAAACCTGTTCCGTATCACACCTATCTCACCTGCTCCCTATCACACCTGCTCTGTATCACACCTGCTCCCTATAACACATGTTCTGTATCACACCTATCACTCCTGCTCCCTATCACACCTGCTCCGTATCACATCTATCACACCTGCCCCTTATCACAACTGCTCCGTATCACATCTATCACTCCTGCTCCTTATCACAACTGCTCCGTATCCCATCTATCACACCTGCTCCTTATCACAACTGCTCCGTATCACACATGTTTTGTATCACACCTATCATACCTGCTCCCTATCACACCTGCTTCCTATCATACCTGCTCCCTATCACACCTGCTCTGTATCACACCCGCTCCCTATCACACATGTTCTGTATCACATCTACTTCCTATCACACCTGCTCCGTATCACACCTACTCCCTATCAAACCTGTTCCGTATCACACCTATCACACCTGCTCCCTCCCTATACCTGCTCCCTATCACACCTGCTCTGTATCACACCCGCTCCCTATCACACATGTTCTGTATCCCCTATCACACCTATCACACCTGCTTCCTATCACACCTATCACCCCTGCTCCCTATCACACCTGCTCCCTACCACACCTGCTTCCTATCATACCTATCACACCTACTTCCTATCACACCTGCTCCCTATCATACCTATCACACCTGCTCCCTATCACGCCTGCTCCGTATCACATCTATCACACCTGCTCCATATCACACCTGTTCTGTATCACACCTACTTCCTATCAGTATCACACCTGCTCCATATCACACCTGCTCCATATCACACATGCTCTTGAGAATTTGTTTGTAACAGATAAATAAGTAGGTTCAATCCTGAAGAAGTGATCCAGAACATACACATGTTCAACTATACTTAATTTTTTTGTCATACTTTTATTTTCTGAATGAATTGTAAATAAGTTCTACAAACATAGGAAGTTAATATACAGGGTAAATGTTTTTATAATTAGCATGTGATGGAAACTACTTGAGACTTATGATCAGGAAACCATTTAACCTGTCAACAAATAATTTAAATAAATTATCATAAAATTTGTCATATCAGCTCAGAACCAGTTATAGAGTGTCGACATACTCATATCGTTCACATATGATAATTTATCAAGCTTTTATCAAACTGACATATTGAGTTTACAGATTTAATGATGAGCCTCACAGTTTTAAATTTCCCATACTCATACATGCCATAACTTTCCAGTGCAAAAAGTGATGATTCTTTTTTTTTTCATAACATTGCTGTTCACTATAAGGTATTTAAAGCCTCCCAGTGCTCTGTATTATATCTCCAAAGAAGAAGAGCTCAGTCTAAATCTTTTCTTAATCCGTTCATGTTGACATTCCGCAAATATACCAAAATCCATAATGTTTACATGTGTTCATGACAGGTGGGTCATGAAAAGTCAATATCACGTAAATTAATAGTCAAAATCACCAGAGATCATGGAACATAAATTAAAGTAGGAGTTCATTGAGTTGTAAAAAATGGTTAAATTATTAAAACAGTTAAACTTCACGACTCCATAATAAACCTATCAAATTCAGGAGTAGTTGAATCTTTGTCCACAGATGACCTGTCAAGTTGACCAAAGATTACCATATCGATTACGGGCGAGTCAAATTAAAAGTAACTAGAAAATGTCTGTAAGACAGAAATGCCCCCACGATGCCATGTGAAGTTAGTTTCAGTGTTCTATAAAAAGTTACAACCACTTTGATCTTGATACCCTGAAACATGCACACACACAAGGTACTTCACTTAAAGTTGATTTTAATATTCATATGTTTTTCCTGTATGTTATTACCATCTCCATAACATATTGAATGAAGTTGCTAAGCGTTTAAATTGAACAGCAGATGATTTTTTATATATAGCAACAGTGACCTTGACCTTGGAACCCTGAAACACAACAATGTCCGAAGTATACTCATACTTGACCTTTGCATAAAGTTTGACCAAAATCCATGAAAGAATGAAGTTGCTAAGTGTTTAAATTGAATCAGTTGATGATTTTCTATATATAGCAAGTGTGACCTTGGCCTTGACCTTGGATCCCTGAAATACAACGGTGTCCGAAGTATACCCATACTTGAACTTTGCATAAAGTTTGACCAAAATCTGTCTAAGAATGAAGTTGCTAAGTGTTTACATTGAATTGGGACGGGACGGGACGATTTTCTATATATAGCAAGTTTGACCTTGGCCTTGACCTTGGATCCCTGAAATACAAAGATGTTTGAAGTATACTCATACTTGACCTTTGTATAAAGTTTGACCAGAATCTGTCAAAGAATGAAGTTGCTAAGTGTTTACATTGAATCGGGACCGGACGGGATGGGACGGGACGGACATGGGTAACGCTATATGCCCCCCCATTTTATGGCGGGGGCATAAAAAGTGCTGCCTATTTAAAGAGGCCTATTTAAATAGGCAGCACTGTATTTTATCCTTCCTAAATGTGTAAGTAAAAGTTGATAGAAATCATTACTGATCACCCTATCCAAAGCTGAGACAGTCATGTTAAAATGGTTAACAATGCATATTGTGTATGTGATGTAAGTTGTACATGATGTGATGGTTTGTTTAGGTTCAACTCTGTATCCCATCAATGTAGTTTTGAAATTTTTCAACTGGAAAGGAAAAATACAACAGGATTCAAACCCAGGACCTTATATAACTCTAGACAGACTTGAACCAACTGAACTACTTTGTCACCAGTTTACATGTACATGTATATTTCTCTCATTTCCCTATGTGTAAGATAGAGCTTTCTCACATACCTCACAGGGTGATCCCATTGTTGCTAGGGAAAAGATAACTCTATCTTACACAGGGTAGGGAAAGACAGCTGACACACGCTATGCATCATAATAATGAATTGTCGACATGACATCATTGTATTGTTTCCGTGATGTCATACCCTTGTTGCAAATGGGGAATCCTCCGTTTCAACCCTAGAGGTTTTTGGTTTTGGCGGAAGAATTAGATCGATGATTATTTGTAAGTATGTGAGAAAAACAATCAAACATATATAGGTCAAGCTGTTCCATGGACAGGGATATCTGAACCCTCATGTAAGAGTTTGGCTGGCCAGCCAAACTCTTACACGAGGGTTGAGATATCCCTGCCCACAGAACAGACCCATGTAAGATTCTATTGGTCCCAGGGTAAGAAAGGGGTGTAAGAAATGTCTTTCTCTTACCCTGGACAGGTGTATCTACACTTTTTACTGGTGTAAGATTTCCTTGCCTCACCCTAGGGTTACAATGGTATGACGTCACTTCAACAATACAATGATGTCACGGCAACAATCCATTAACCTCACGTTAACCCTGAATTTAGCATATAACGTTATCATTACATTGCTGTACATTGTATATGATACACAATGTGTGAACTGGGTAAGAGAAAAAGGAATCATTCACCCCCTTGTTGGTGAGATAGGGGAATCTCAACTCTCAGGAAAAGATCCCCAAGTTGCCAAACACTCGGCATAGCCTTGTATTTGGCAACTTAAGAATCTTCCCCCTCCGGTTGGGATTCCCCTATCTCATCCCCAAGGGGGTGAGAGATTCTATTAACCTTACACCCTATTTCAAGCGACATGACGTCACGATGGCTCAACAATGACGCGACGTCACAAATTGTGAAATCTCCGATGCCACAATTGGGAAAAGGCAACGCGATGAAATTAAAACCTTTTACGATATATTACTGTATATGTTAGAAAGATGTCATTTATTTTTCTGCGCTTGTCATTAGCACACTCACATACAGTAAATGCAAGAGTTAGGGCAAGACAGGAATTCCAACCCAGGACCTTGAAACTCTAGACAGACTTAACTTCAAGCAATTAGGCATTTATATAAAATATCAGCTTTATTCATGTTTCAACAATTCATTTGTGAACAAGAGGGGATTCTGAAGCAAAAACCAAACCAAAGATTCATTGATTGAATTGAACTGACAGAGTGACTCGGTGCTTGTCTGGTCAAGATCCTGACCAAAATGGTGGCCATGACCTGCCACTGTATCAAAGAGTAAAGCCTAGCAGAGACGAATGGCACTAAGGCAGGTAATCCAGTCTGCATCATTATACTGATGAACAATGCTTTTTTTTTTACTTGGCAGCATAAACTTAAAGGCACAAAGTTACTGTTAGTGGAAAAGTGCAGGTATTACAATATTATAGCAGATTCCACCATGATATGGTGAACATTTTCCATAAATACAGCTATATGCATCTCTATCGAAACTAGACTGGGTGATTTCTGGTAAACAGGAAGCTTAATAAGTTTTTCGTCACTATTACTAATGTTTCGACCTGGGGCTGTTTTTTTATTTTTAGTGTTCTGTGTCACATATTTATTATTTAATATTCTGCAGTGTATATATATGTGTTAACAAAAAAGTACCACAAAATCTACAACTGAATTGTAGGTTTTAATTGCAGGTTCTGAAACACCTAGAGTTTGGGTGTCTGTGATAAACCATTGTTTCAAATAGTGTGCATATATATTAGACTTGGCAAGAGGATAACTGAACCTGGGTAGTAAAAACAGCTTATAGAGGTCTCCTCCTTAGACCAGAGGGATTAAGGTGTGAAGGGGAACTATACCCCAGTCACCAGTTACTGGCGAATGTCTGCCCAGTAGCGTCAGTTTTAATATCTCCGATATGAATACCTGTCATTTTCCCATCTAGATCTGTTACATATATCGACCTACAGAATATGTTACATAAATACTGTGTAACCACATGGTTTTAGCCTCGCCTGTCAATAAACCTATAATAAAAACTGGGTGAATAAAAAAAAATCTGTTTGCTTGGAATTGTTGTACATAATTAATTGTAGCAACAATTACTGATGACTAACAGCTAAAATTCACCCGTCTTACTTTCTCGTAATCTTTCATTGCAAAATAATCACGACTTTAATTAGCTCATGACAGTTTGCCTACCACGGTATGCATGTGTTTGTGTACACATGTGCCGTTAGGTCCGTTACCTGTTTCGGTGCATATGTTCCTAAACCAATCGCTGGCATCACATTCCCACTTTGCAACTTGAAACCCAACTTCTCAGCCATGACAGCAAACTTAGACTGTTGACACTATATGGTTGAAGATAACCGCTCACTGCGAGTGTAACGTGAAGTCCGGCAGCTTCGGCGTGACCGACTTCTGCTATTTCAGTAAAACATATGTGGTGACGTTCCGTTTTGTTACGTTAGATGTGTAGCGTACGGGTCCTGTGCATTACATTCTAAGGAAGATGCATACACATGTATTATATCGCCTTGGTTTATGATAAAGATAGCGATGTCTCGTCCAGTTGATGCGTGCTTACACTTCGTTTCCCCTTGACCCGGTGACCTAAGACCTTATTAGAGTAACTTCGGATATCCTCTGAAGGAAGTAGTCTGGTTGATGTGTAGTGCCCGAGCAAGTCGAATGTAAAGTAAGCTCAATGGACAGTTTTTATCTTCAACCATGCATAGTGTCAACAGTCTTAGTTTGCTGTCATGGCTGAGAAGTTTGGTTTCAAGTTGCACCGAAACAGCTAACGGCACATGTGTAGACCAATGCATGCATATCTCGAATCTTGCTCATGACAGTTTGCCTACCGCGGTACAACTTGCATATTAAGACGGGTGAACTTAAGCTGTTATAGTCATCAGTAGTTAACCTAGTCCGAATTATTCTGACGTTTTATCAACTTTTTCATATCGGTCTGTCGTTGATTAATCGACGAAAGACCGATATGAAAAAAGTCGATAAAACGTCAGAATAATTCGGACTAAAGTTAACCCCCCACCCCCCAGTTTTGTTTCAGTTTGTAGTGCTGTCTTGAAGCTTTTAAGTTCTTGCATTTTGACGAGGTCTTCTGGTAGGTTATTCCACTCTGTTGTTGTTCGAGGAAAAAATGAATTTTCAATATGTCCGTATTACACTGGAAATGTCGGTTATTTTCACTAATTTTTGATCAGGTACGGGTGTTTGATGAAGTTAATATGTGATATAGGTATGGCCACTATACATATATACAGCCCCTTTACGATCTTATAAAAAAGGGCAAGCTGATGGTCTCGCCTGCGATCCTTTAGTGGTGTTAGTTTTAGAGTGTCCATCATTTCTGTTACACTGCTGTCCCTTCTATAGTTTGATGTTATAAATCGGACAGCGCGGCGTTGTACCTTTTCCAGCGAGTGGATGTTGTTTTGCTGGTAATTAGGGTCCCATATCGTGCAGCTGTATTCCAGGACAGATCTCACCAACGATTTGTATGCGGTCAGTTTCAGTGACGCTGGACACTTTCGCAGGTTTCGTCTTATAGGAATCCGAGAGTGGAATTTGCCTTGTTGGTTGTGATACGGATATGAGAGTCCCACTTCACTTCATGGCGTTGTGAATGGTCACCCCCAAGTATGGATTTTCTTCCACTTCTTTGAGTAATTGGAATATCAGAGAAAGTGTTTACCCGGCCAGGTGGAGTATAAAATGGTCTGGGGTGGATGTTGTGGTATCTGTGCTGTAGCATTCAAGCGAGGTTGCACTATATGAAAGATGCCGTTGGAAGGACGGTCCCACTACAAACAGAACACAACACATCTCCAGCACACACGCAGTCATACACACATAGGGAGATATTAGCCAGGTGGCATAGGACTAATAGTTAGCGCCTGATAAAGCAACAATTAGTGTTATGGAGTGCCATATTTCCACATGATAATTCAACATGGGTGGTTAAGTTTAGAAGCATACATAGATACCAAGAAATTATCATTGTTTGGAAGATTTTGTAACTTGGAGAAAAATTGTATATCATATTTTGTGTTTTTTACTCGTCTTTTTATGGCAGTTATAGGGACCAATGTGTATAATAATGGATTTATGAATGAAGTAATTAGAGTTCTAAAGAAATATTATTTATACAAATTAGTACAAGAATGTTTATCAAGTGGATTATTTCCAGTGAAAAGCACATGGAAAGCGAAAGTAAAGCATACTGTACAGTTATATGAAGAAAAAGCATGGAAGGAGGGAATGAGTGGTGACCGCGATTTCTGCAGATTTATATTTGTTCATGATAATTTGGCTCCTCATACATGTATATTGTGGAAATTGTTAATAAAATTTCCTCAAAACAGAGAATTCATACATGGAAATTGATTGTATCTCTAAGACATTCAGAAAAAACTGAATTGTGTCATAAATGTGGACAAATGTATAACGATATATATACCCACATAGTTTTACAATGTGATTGTGGCACGGACTTAGATAACGTCTAACATATAATTCCGTGGTTGTGGTGTCAAGTCGTTAATACAATTGTACATGTGAACTTATGTTTAGCGTATATTTACACTCTCATTCAGACTATGAATTATTCCACCTACTGATTGGTGGCAACATAACGTATGAACTGAATACATTAGAGTTCACAGAATTTCGTATGGCATCAGTCAATCATATTTCAAAAATGCTTAATGCATACTTCGAATGAATATTCAATACTTTTGTGTATAACATTCTTAACATTATTAATTATGTATTCTTTTGTAAACTGTACTCAAATTGATTAACCTATTCCTATTGTGTTAACTAATTATATTGTGCACTAGTTTTACCTTACCATCTATTTTTTTGCATTTATTATTTATCATTGTAACTACATTATTCTGTTTGTAAAATCTTCTTAAAGGAGGAAATAAAGAGAATTACAATAAATTTATACACTTACCCAACACTATGCAAAATTTAAAGTCGATCGTAACACTAAAAAGTACCGTAATACGTCTAAAAAGATGCCTATGTGTGAGGAATGTGTGTCCAAGGAGATTTCCGCGCGCCCAGAAATTTGTAAATCGATTTTTTATAGTTTTTTTTCTTACGATGCATTAATGGTATGTACTTACCTAGGTGTGTGCAAAATTTCAGGTCGATCGTAACAGCAAAAAGTACCGAAATACGTCGATAAATATTATGTTTGCTAGCGAGGAACGAGTGCCAGGGAGGATTTCGCGCGCCCAGGAATTCGTTATTTTTTATTTTATTTTTTTAATATTCACGTATCACGATTTGAACATTTGGTACAGAAAAATACGACGAAAGAGATGGCACAGAAAAATAAAGAGAAACAAATGGTACAGAAAAAATGTGAAGAAAGTACATTGCCGACAACAGTTAACTGTAGAACGCATGCGTTTACAACTTTACATGTATGTTGATACATGTTCATTATATGGTTTACATGTATTTTGTACAAGATATGATAGGATATTTATGAGAAATATTAACAAATTCTTGTAAATTTGAGGATACCATATTTTTTTCTTAATTATACCATACAATAATTTTGATTAAGCGGCACATAAAACACAATCATCATTTCGAGTGGCATAACCTACACTACCATAGTTAAGTTGATGAGACAGATATTTATATATACATGACACTGATGAGGTCATACATGTATACCAACTGTGTGTTACCAATCATATCAGACCCGCAACGCATGCATGACATGGCTGACGGTTCCAAGATTTTCAAGATTTTTTTTCGTTACGTTCTGACACACAAAGTGCGTAACAAGATGTCCAACAAAATAACATCAATCAAATAAAACATGACAGAGAGAGTAGATTATACATGGACAGATTAAGCATTATTTCATGAACAGATTCAGCATTATTTCGTGGACAGATTCAGCATTATTTCATAGGTAGATTCAGCAATATTTCATAGACAGATTCAGCAATATTTCATAGATAGATTCAGCAATATTTTATAGATAGATTCAGTATTATTTCATAGATTCAGCAATATTTCATGGATAGACATGGCTTGGATGAGCGCCGATATGCTGAAGATTAATAACGCACAGTTTTCACACCCAAGTACAACGAGTACATGACAATGAGACACCGGACTTGCACAGGCAGCCCGATCGATGAGGAACTCATGTGGTCGCGATCGATGTTCATTGAGAAACAGGTAACCACAGGGATAATAAGCCAGCTATATTTGGACCGAGACTGAGGTGTTCAGCGTAATTTTTACACATTTCAGCGATTTAGATCTAATTTCGGTAGAATGCCACCCCAATGATGATATCCATGGTGTAACCAGAGACATATAAAGCCATATAGTAGTAGTATATACGTCTCTAGATGTATAGCTGGTGTACCATATTCACAAATACCATTTTTACCGCAAATTGCTCTCAAGGTACACTTTTCTTTAAAAGAATGTGTTATCAAAGCTATAGTCATGCCGGAAACGTTAAGTTTCGAGTGTATAGTTTCGTTTGTTGGCAGTGGTACGGAGATCCTTTAAAGCCTACACGCCCTACCTGTGTGGCGAGAATGTAAAGTGAGATTGAATAAATACAGAGAGTTCTCAATAAAGCATAATGAAAATTATTTTTAAACAGACTTTATATAATGCATATAAACGTTAGTTATTCAGGAACACATTGGAAACAAAAAACCCTCCCACCCGTAATCTCTTCTTTGTGCTACCTGTACGGGGACTGACTTTAGTGCTACCTGGCTTGATCACGTGATCACAACAAATAGCGGGTAACTACATGTATTACTCAACACCGGAAACTTGACGTGCACTGACTTTTATCAAGTTGTTACATTGTGGTCGGTAAAAATGTGAGTGAATACATATTTTATTGTCTGATGCACGTATATAGCTATGTAATAGTTCGTAAGTCAACATGATGGACGACAGCTCAAGGGTAACGACCCGACAACCTATCCCAACGGAAGGCGATGACGTTTCGTACGTGGATAGTGACATTCACGCGCAAGCATTCTGTTGCTTGCCTCACTGCTGTGACAACGGGGCGGACCCACGCTGGTACTACCCATGGGACAAGGGTCTTGCCCGTATGATGGGTCTGTATTGTCTGTGGTGCGGGCTGGGACTGGTTTTCCCCTGCTGTATGTGTGTGCCCAGCTGTCGGGACATTGCGTGCATGACTGACCAAGGGCTCTGGAGAGGTTCGGTATGTGGAAAGTACATCTGTGTGGAGGAGGAGCCACCGGCATCCAAAACAGACAATTAGTACAATCAAATATCAGAGATGTTAAAAGTTCCTGGTGCAGTCAACTCTGACCAACGCGGAACACTACAATCTGGCAGGAAATTTAAACAACGATCATCAAAATCAGATGAGAAAGAAGTATTTCTGGTGCTCTAATCATTGGCGTTAGTAAGGGTCTAAATGCAAGAGACCGACTAACCTGGTTCACGCAAACTGTCAAATTGGTAACAGTGTTGTATTCATGTCAGTCGGACGCGGAGACAGGTGTATATACAACCATATATAAAAAAACAACTATATGACAATAACCTGTATATATAACTGACCTAAAACAGCTGCTTCATACATGTAAACGTTATATGAGATTAAAAAAATATATATTAAAAGTATCAAGAATATACGGTACTTTCTATATACAATTCTTTATATTAGATTTACAAATTTTCCAAACTTTTGATGTTCGTAATACATGTAACTAACATACATGTGGTCATTATTAATTGTTTTGATTATTTTATCTCCATCCCA